ATATAACAATTAGTTACCGATGAATATATCCGATCGATAAATATATAAATATATTTTTATTTATATATTTTTTATTTATATATTTATATGGATATACATTTACTTATATATAAATATAATTTTTTTTAATTTATTATTAGAAAATCATAGTAGTTTACTTGGTTGAAGTATCAGTCTTCAATTTTAAGATATTGGATTTGAATTTGCCGATAATAAAACCTATAGGTAAATAATAAAATCTAATATTTCTTGTAATTATTGATTAAAAAAATGATGGTCAAGAATTAAATATACTAACGAATTAATTATAACTTTTACATTAATAATAATAATAATAATTATTATTATTATTATTATACGTTATTTATTAAACTGAAGTTATTTTTTTAATAAGTAAAATTTTATTAGAGTTTATGTTATTGAGTATTTATCTACGAACATACATGCATGATATTTAAATAATTTTTTTTATCTTAGTTTTGTAACTTTTACAATAAACATCCTTCAAAAACTTCACTCCAATGTTAATATTATTAATACAAGTATTTAATTTGATTTTATGAGTTATGCAATTAATTTATTTAAAATATTTGCAAAAATAAAAGAACAAGTGGATGCGTTAGATTATGGTTTTATATTTTAGAAACAAAAATTATTCTCAATGAATATATTTGAAAAAAGTGATTGACCAAAGACACAATAACACGATGAAGAGAGAATTGGGTGAAGTAAAAGGTAATTAACGATGAGTAATAAGTGTAATTTGGCTTTTGCTAAATTAATAAAAAGGAGATTACAGAAAAGTTAAAAGAGATAGAAGAAAACCGTGGCGAACTTATCCATATTAGTAAACAAGGTGACAGCTATGATGAATTCTTATGATTTTTAATCCCAGCTTTACAGACTATATCGCTAAGTTTATTAAAATTAATTATAAAATTATTATATCTCTAATTTATATTTACTTATATATATATATAAATCAGAATATAGATAATAATAAAAAAGTTTCCAATTCACTGTGTCTCAGATGAATAGGCGCATATAGACAAAAATATTCGGAGCAGAAGGAAGAGTATGGAGGTTGGTCATTATCTTCTCTTTGTCATCGTAACATACTCTTTCTGAATTTGTTGATTCACTTTTGTTTTTCTTCCTCTTTTCTTTAGTGGTCTGTTTATTCTCTTGCTTCACATGCAGGATGCTGAAAGCTGAAAGCTTTTCTATGGAATATGCAAAATTCATTGTAGATGAATGAAAGTGATAACAAGAAAACAATTAGAAGAATACATTAGCCAAAACACCAAAGGCCTGAAAACCAAGATATTACAAACTTTGGTTATATACTCATTCATATGTTATAAGTCAATTGAAATGAACAGACTAAATAAAAAGAGCCAAGAACCAGACTTGCCGAATGTTTGACCATCAAATTCACTTTACTTGCCTATGTCATGTCCGTAACGATGGCAAGCTTCAGCGAAAGGGATGAACATTTTCGTTTGATTTCAGATCTCTAAAACTTCAATCTCATCGTACCTCAAAACCCATATGCACTCCTTCTTATTCATACTTCCATAAGACGGAAGGAGTGGAAGTTGATAAGAAATATATGGTCTATTTATATAGAAGGAATGAAGCAAAGTAAGTCTTCTTGTTCTTTGGAGGAAATTTATCACCTTTAATTCAAAATTTTAAGAAATTGAATTATAATTTTTTTATTTAATTTTTATTTTTTTATAGTTATTTTCACAGTTCTTTTATTGGTGTGCTTTTAACATAGTGGTTTCACATCATTCTTGGCAACAGTTTGATGTATTGTATGAACATTTGTGAAGAATCTGAAGAGAATACCATAAAGTAGGTGAAGAGTTGAACAGTGTTGTGGAGTTATATAAAGGTTATTGCAATTGGTCTTGACCATGTAATTAGTATATTGCATCTAACAATATACCTAGTCATGAGATTGTCCTATACACAGAAGCTTTAATAAGTGGCCGTCAGATCCCATTTGTTTTAATCAACTATCATATGTAAATTCATTAGGGCACACAATTAACAAAATCTATGTTTGCCCCATTCAAACAACTTCAAAAAAAACTTGGTTAAATAGAAAATTTAGTCGTTTTATTTATTAAAATGTTTCAACGTGATCCTAAAATTTTTAAAGTTTTTAATTTAGATATGAATATTGAAATTGATGTTAATCTTAGATTAATTTTATGTATATTTTGACTCCGTTATATTAGATGTCTAGTTGAAGTATCAGTTCTGAAGTGGTTAAGTGATTGATTATAGTTACATGACAGATTTGCTACATCACATTAAAATTATAGGAAGGAAGAAAGAAATAGGGTCACAAATGTGTTTAAGGTTTGAATAATTGAGAGTTTGTACAAATGGGTGAGGAAAAGTGAGAGGATCTGCAACAACAGGGGAGGTGAGAGTTCCATTTGTAACGACAGCAGGGGTTTAGGATTCCAATCGTCGTCATGTGTGAGATTGACTGTGACGAAATAGGAGGAGGTTGATTCCATTTAGGGTTTGCGACGACATTGAGAGAACGAGTTGTTTCCGATGACGAGGGAAAGGGAACCTCGCGACGACGGCGAAGTCGGATATGCGAGAGGGACTACCTGCAACGACGACAAAAGAATGATAGTGACAAAATTGTTTTATATATTTGTATTTTAATTAAAATTAAATTCATGGTATAGATATCAAGACTTTCGCATGACAATGTTTATAATTATTAATATATATTATAGTAATATTAATAAGAGTAATTCAATTATACAAAATTGCTAAATTATCTGTATATAAGTTTGATAAAATTAACTATAAGTTATTTGCAAACTGAAAAATTAAAAGTTATTATTCAAATTTTGGTAGCCATGTAGTTTCAAATAATTATCATTTCGTTAAATTACTCATCGATGATCTCTATAACTAAATAAATTTTATTTTTGTGTATATTATTTTAATTTCTTTTAGTAGCTGTAATTTGGAAAACATGGACTAACAAAAAAATATTAAAATAATAGAGACTAAAAATAATTAAAATGGTACGTGTAGAGGCTAAAATTGATGATATTTAAGTATAGGAATTAAAAGTTAATTTTTTTACAAGAGATAAATGAATAAGAAATATTATCAATTTTTATATTTAGTAAAAGTTGTGTTTTCTGCTTTTATTATATGTTTAACATATAATTAGTTTTTTTGGGTTATATTAGGGTTTATAGTTCTTCAACGGGGAAGAAAGGTCACTCAGATCATATCACTCGCCAGAAGATTTTAGATGAAAAAATTCATTATGTTTCCTTTAAAAAATATTTAATCCTTTAGATTTTGGAAACCCATAATAGTTATAATATAATTTAATAATCATAAAGCAACCTTTGGTATACATGATTAGATTTGTACTTAATTCTAATTTTCCTAAATGAGTAACATCCTATATATTTTAATTAATTATATTAACTATTATTTACTTTTTCATTCTCACTGTTTCTTTTCTAATTATTAAAATTAATTATTATTTAAATCAATACACACACACACACATATATATATATATATATATATATATTATTTTTATAATCTATTTTTTAATTTAATAATCTAATAGTTAATCTTAATTATTAAATTAAAAAAAAATCTTTAATTTGGATATCTATTGTGGTATAATCTTTTTGATTAATTAATTTTATATTAAGATAATTACTTTTATTATTTTATAGAAAGTGTATTTTGACAAATAATGCTTAGTTAAAATTCCCCCTGCATTAAAAAAGTTTGACTAGTTTCTTAGAATACCAAGTTTAGTAAAACTTTATGATTCAAGGGATAATCATCAAGTAGCATAGCCATTAATTTCAAGTTACTCAAACACTGCATAATGAATTATGTTCACTGAGATAATCATTAATTAGGTCAATCAACATAATAGCTTACAATACTTTTGTTTTTAAAAATAATTACACTTTAATATATTAATGTGATTATTTTATATAATTTTAAATAAATATTAAATTATTTATACTGAAATATTTTAATTTAAAAGTAACTTTCTAATAAAATCTTAAATAAGTATATATAATAATATATGAAGATTACTTATAAAAAACAATAATATTGTATATATTTAATTTTTTAATTTATAAAAAACTATTACAAAATTTTGGGTATGTTTTAAATAACTTGAAACATTTACAAAATATATAAATATTCATTTTTATATATATTTTTTATTTTTTATGCCAATCAAATCTATTAATAGAATATTACTTTCTACAGTACTTATTCAAACCTCAGAAATTTGGTTTTGAATAAAATAAGTAAAAATTAATACTTGAAAAACCATTCTCATTGTACAATGAAATGCTCATCAGCGGTAAACTAGGGTTTTGAATTTAACTTCATTTTATAAAATCATTTTATAAGACAAGGATTTGCCACCATTTATATTTTTCAGTGATGTGAAAACAGATCAAATGAATAAATTTAAAATAGTCTACATCAAAAGTTACTTCAATAACAATAATAAAAGAAATAAAATTATTAAAAATTTAAGTAGGTTTTTAGTCATAAAATATTTTTTTTGTTAGATGATTATTGTAGTAATATTTTATTTATTTTTATTTATCATGTCAAACTTCACATATTATTTTATAGTGAATAAATACAGGTTAGACTATTTAAATAAATTATTTCATCATTTGAAATTTTGAAATAATTTTAATATATGGTTTTGGAAAATAAAAGGTATGTTTTTTTTTAAAGCATAAAAGGTATTCTTTATAACCACAAAACACAATTTATGATGGATAATTAAATTAAACAATTATAATATTCGATTTGTTTTAATTAAAAATATGTGTAATGTAGTAGTTTTTAATTTTTTTTTTCTGGCCCATAATGTCATGCAAGCATGCACAGAAAATTCAAATCCCTTCAACGGTTCGAATTCTCAGCGAGAAGGGATTTTTGTGGAGAAAATGTTTAACGTGAAAAATCAAGTTAGAATGAAATCGTGTACAAGTATATGGTTATGGTTCACAGTTTTGTTGTTTTCAGTTCAATCTTTGGGATCTGAGAGGAGTGACGTGGCATACGTGACTCTATTGTACGGAGATGAATTCTTGTTGGGTGTTCGAGTTCTCGGCAAATCGATACGGGACAGTGGATCCAACAAAGACATGGTCGTTTTGGTCTCTGATGGTGTCTCTGATTATGCTACTACTATTCTCAAGGTACTGTTTTCGTTGGCGAGCGGTATAAATGCGAAACGAGAAATGATTTTTTTTGCTCAGTATTATTTAGACGGCCACTTTATATTACATTGATATTACTGTTTCATTTGACGTGAATCCTAAATATTGGGAGTTATGAATAGCTTTGTTGATTTTGAAACTGTTCATTGATGTATGGTGCGTACGGTTTATGATTGGTTTTTGTGTGTAGGCTGATGGGTGGATAATTGAAAAGATTAGTTTACTGGCAAATCCTAATCAAGTACGTCCAACGAGATTTTGGGGTGTCTATACAAAGCTCAAAATATTTAACATGACCGACTACGAGAAAGGTATAGTATTTATGGTTTTTTTGTTGTTTCTTGTGTCTGCTTATGGAAGTTGTGGAGGATATTCTAAACTTTCCTTTTGGGTTTTTGCATTTCAAATAGAATGTTGCTTCCCATGATTATGAAGTATGATTTATTGGGTTTCTTGAATGTGTACGTGCAGTTGTTTATCTTGATGCTGACACTATTGTGGTTAAGAATATTGAAGAACTCTTCCAATGTGGAAAATTCTGTGCTAATTTGAAGCATTCTGAGAGGTTGAATTCTGGAGTCATGGTGGTGCAGCCATCTGCAACCGTCTTCAATGACATGATGAGTAAAGTAAACACTCTGCCATCTTACACTGGAGGTATTATGATTTTTCTTTTTTAACTAATATTATATGGTATTATATTTTTCATTTGGATTTGGATATCCTTTCTTGAAGAGACTTGTATTAGATGGGGGATTTGAACCTAATAGGTTTGAACAATTGGCTTCATCTATATTCCTGCCTCCACAGGGGATCAGGGATTTCTCAATTCATATTACTCTGGATTTGCCAACGCACATATTTTTGAGCCAAATTTGACCCCAGAAATGTTGGATAGTAGACCAGTTCCTGAAATGGAGCGACTTTCCACTCTTTATAATGCAGATGTCGGTCTTTACATGCTGGCTAACAAGGTACTGGAATATAGGTAAATAAGAGGATGTTTCCTTCCTTTTAGGTATTTAGGGGCAACGCATCAGTGATACATCTGCCTTTTTGTTTCTTCCCTTTGTGACATAATTGTGCTTTACCTTGTTACTTGATTTTTGACTTGGGATGCGTGCCTGTTACTTGATAATTGCATCATATCTCTGTTGTTTAACTTGTTAAAGTCTTACATGTTCATGTATTGATGTTTAGTTAATGTTCCAATTTATATGATGCAATTAGTTTAATACCTACAGTCTGAACAACAGATATTCTCTTTGATTCTTGGAATAATATATTTTTAATTAATGTATTAAAGAATTAAAGCCTTTCTTAATAGGTTAAAGGAAGAATTGAACAAATTGATGGAATGAATGAGAAGATGAAACTGCCAACACTATAATGGCAGGGAAATTTTCTTTTGTGTTGTGATGAGTTCCATTTTGACGGAGTAAGAGCTTATTGTTATGGTAGAAATTGGAGTAAGTGCTGGTGTCGCTCTTTAATAGGTATGGCATTGCAGAGTGACCGATATTAATATATTTTGTTACTACTAAAACCTTAAAAGGAATTATTTAGTGCTAATGCTGCTGGATTCAATTTTACTGTTGGTAGATGGAAGTTTTGGCAGTTAGAATGAGCACTTGTTATATGGATGGTGATGATATAGGAGGAAAGCCTTCGACTTTTCGATCGTGTTAACATTTTCAACTTCTTTATTTCCTGTTAGAAACTGGGTTTTGGGGCATGTGTGGTGATGGGAATTGAGTTAGGGGCAGTATGACAGTTATTGACAGAAAGTAGGAGCTGTTACATTTCAAGATACGTGTAATAATCATTGTCATTAGCATCAATGCATCATTAGAATAAGTTAAATAGTAACTGTAATGTTGACACTATTAGAATAAGTTATTGACATAAATAAAGGAGGAATTGCCATCTTTCAATGGAAATGACACTATTGGGTGGCCGTTAGGGCAACAACTTATTTTGAAGATCAGTGAAGATCAAATTAGCAAAATTAAGCATGAAGTGAAATGGTAGTGGATAAGGATAGTGTGGAAAAACCAATTTTCTACATTCGGCCTTGAGGAGAAGGATGATTTGTCAGTAGGAGGTAAATGATGGCAACTGAGTTAGAGACAGTTATTGGCTGAAAGTAGCAGCAGTTGTTTATTAAAATAGGTGTAATTATAGTTGTCATTAGCAATTATGTATTATTACAATATCTTGAATAGTAGCTGTTATGCAAAAAGTTTGTAGAAGTTACGTATTTTTAATTATGTATGTAATAGGGGATACTTGTGTATCGTTTTCTCGTATTTTGGACAGAGAACATTTATCTGTAAGAGTCTATGACCCTGGGACAGAAAATTCTTCTGTGTTTTTGTGTATTCTGTGTGATTTAATGTTACGCCTATACAATATATGGTTTGGTGTTCTACCATTTGGTCTGTAGGAAACTTTTCCTTTTCAATCAGTTCAATATAATTTTAAAAATGGTGGGAGGTGAATGAACATTTCAGTAGTTGCAACTCAGATTCTTTGTAGACTTGTACTTTTTTTCCTAGTTTGAATTAGCGGCTGTGAATACTTCATCATTCTCTCTCACACACCAAATATATGCATTTAAATATTTCAGTGTTCCTTTACATTATATCTTTTACTTCAATTATATAACTATTCATGCTTATTTGTCCAGTGGATGGTAGATGAGAATGAACTCCGTGTGATTCATTATACACTTGGTCCTCTTAAACCTTGGGACTGGTGGACATGTTGGCTTGTGAAACCTGTTGATGTCTGGCAGGTATTTTTGCTACTTATTATGCTATTTTATCCATATCTCAAAAACTTGTCTTCCAGTAATTTTTTAAAAGGCCATCTTGCTGAAGTATGTTAAATAATTTACTTGAGGAATCCCTTGCTTATGCTGTAGAATATAAGGGAACACCTGGAGGAATCCCTTCCTGGAACTAAAGGGGGCCAAAATCCTAATGATTATTTTCTTGTAAAATTTCTTTTTCTACTACCATTTTGTGCTGTGCTGTTCTGCTGCTATCGCTCATTTCTAAAGGTCAGCTATCGTGGATTGATTTATTCTTTGCGCATTAGGAATTCCAGGTGCCTCATAATATTTTATTTTCTGCAGAATCAGGGGTACTTTGGTTCCTGTTGCAGAAACTCACTATGTGATCATATCAGACAACTCTATTATAGGATTAAATCAGGGGGGCCAATCGTATATACTACTATTTCAACCTCGACTATCAGTTCCACTCATCCGGTCAGTTTTTACTTCTATACCTAAACTACCATTTCTATCTCAACTAAGAATTTGGATCCTCTCACGTGAGGTGCTTGCATACTCATCAGATTACTGGGAAATGTATGTCCTCACTTAGAAGATTGAAATCTGTGGTTGGATATGCATGATGCTTATGGATTTGAATTTTTAAAATACCAAGTGTTATTTTTTTATAAGCAATACTAAGTATTATTTATGGTGTTAAACAGTTCATAAATGGTGCTCAGAACAAGGTGCCTGCATATTTGGGCAGTATTTCTGTCTGTGTCTGTTTATTGGCTGCAGTGGGGTCTCTTGGATTAGCTTTCTTGATAGTACCTCGGCAAGTGGCTCCATGGACTGGTTTTCTTTTGATGTATGAATGGATATTCACAATCTTCTTTATACTATTTGGGGGTTATCTCAATCTGATCTATCATTGGGGAAAGATTATGACGCCACAAACACCTTCCTCGTTGTCCCATCCCGAATCTTCTGATGAGGATTCTGGAAAAGGTATGTTCTGCCGGAGTAGAGCTGATTTGGGGTTTTTTCTTTCATCTGTGTCCTCAAGACTTTTTTTTAGTTGTCATCCCTAATTTTAACTCATTTATATTAACAGGTCATCATCGTCAGATGTCATCATGTGATGCTGCTACGTGGTTCTATGGTTTAGGGATGGCCCTCTTGGCCATTGCTGCTCCCTGTTTGCCTTTTCTATTTGGGATCACTGCATTGTTTTTACGGTATCTTTCCTTATTAGTAAAGATATCATTTGAAATATGCACTGTTGCTATCATGCTTGATCTAGTTAGAGTTTCTATTTATTTAAGTATAATTTCATTATCCGTATACGTTGTTTAGATCTTAAAGTAGAACTTTGTTCTCAGTATCTTTTGTGATAATTGACTCAGATGAGTATCAAATTTAAAAATGTAAAACTTTGAAAGAACCTACTCTCTGCCTTTGGCCACTTTTGAGTGGTAACTTGTAATCACGTGCATAGTGCCTCTGATATGGAGGGTTGATCATGAACTGTAAGATTATTTGACCATTTTATTGATCATTCTTTACTTATTTTTGGCTTGGATACTAATAAAGTCTTTCTTCTACAAGATTAAGCTAGAATGGCAGTTTAGAAACAAACAATTATTTGCCGTTATTTTCTTTCTTTTTTAAGAGAGAGGGAAGAAGAAGAGAAGTAAATTCTTAACAAATGGTATGGGTTTCTGGACAGAGCAACATACTTGAATGGGGCGGGTTTTTATTTTTTCTGTCTTCTGATGAATTTTGGTGCTTTTTTTGCTTATTTTCAGTATATAGTATGTCACCAAAATAATATTCCTATTTATATATACATTCAGCTTGAGGCGAATTTAACCATATTTCTGTCTTGTAAATTCTAGATAGTATTTTAAAGAGAAAATAACAGCATTATTCTCGAACTTTTTTCTTCCAATTTACGCTTACATTTTTTTATTTATATTTCTAACAGGTTAGGTTTGATGGTTGTTGGGGGCGTAGTATTAGTATCTTTCCTGACATACTCTTCGGAACATCTTGCTATCAGATCATTTCTGAGAGGGTTTGAAGAGAGGGATGTTGCACGCAATGCAACCTTCTGTTGATTGAATTCTTTGTATTGGTGCAAATTGCGGTAGATTATTTCTTTGTTCACCTCTATTTCATTAAAACATGGATCATTTCATCTATATAACCCTCACATTTTATCTGAGTTTGGACTGCAAAAAATTCACAACAAAGTGACGCTGAAGAAACTCTTAGGAAAAACTTTTGAATCATTTGATTCATCCAACTTATCTCTATATTTTGAGAGTTAGTGTGGTTATTATTGTATTAAACTAACCGGTAGCTTTTTTTGACAGCTACCCGACAATCCGATAGTTGAATACAAAGTTGTTCTATTCATAAATGTAAAATTAAATTTTTCAACTTAGCATATTGTATTTTTCCTAGTTACCATAATTGCATTGTTTCATTATTCTTCTTTAGAAGATGATATTGCTTCTTCAAAATTACAATTGAGTCTCAGATAAGAATTTGTTTAAAACATTAAATATTGGTCGGTACTTAAATTAATTCCAACATTCACATCAAAATGTGTGCTAAGATGGGTAAAATCAAATATTGATAAACATTCGAAATGTATTTTGGGTGTACTTAGAGCATAAGATTTTTTTTTTTATCTTTTACTTTCGAAGTACTTTTGGAAGTACTTCAGCCTTAATTGGAACATGCTTGACAAGAAAAAAAAAAAAAGTAAATTATATTGTCATATGTTACACTAACTTTTTATTTGTTTGAAAAATCTGTGTATTATATATGAAAGATTTTTATAAATATCAAAATAGCAGAAAAAATGTTTACAATGACAGGGAGAGTGTCTTTGTGATCTACTAGAATAACAACTGTGATTATATTAATAAGTCTTAACTAACTAATGAGTGGTGCACATTGGTTACAACCCAGAACCAGTTTTATACATTATCCATATCTTTGTTTGATAAAAGAGGAAGAGATGTATGATAAAGTTCAAGTTTTGTCATTTTCTTCCTTTTCATCTCTCAGCTCTGCTTTTCTTAATAAAGAGAACCGATTTGTCTCTTTCAGTACGCTTTTTCTTTTCGTCCTTGTCCTCAATATGGGATCCACTTCTATGCGAGGTGGCAGTAACTAGTAGGATGATATCTTTACTGTGTTTTGGGCTAACTTTGTTAAAATAAGTAGCATCCTAGGGAAAATGATATTTTACACCCTAAAATAGGTAGAAACATCATATAAACCTCTTTTTATGTGGCATCAATCACTCCGAGAGTGCAAAGCCTTATTCAAGATAAACTTCTATTCCAGACTCATAGCAATCTTGACATGCCATCTTGTTCCCAGTGATAATGGAAGTCGCACAAAAAATTATTGCTATGATTTTATTCATACAGGATCTCTTCTCTGTTCTAGTGTAAGTAGCACTGACAAAGAGAAAAATTATTAAATTATTAGTCTGTATCTTTTCAACCACCCCAAATCCTCGAAATTATCAAGTTCAAAATGGTGCAGGCATGACCACCCAAGTGGTTAATTACTCAAAAGAAATCAAAATGGGCATTATTTTTTGTCACTTGAAGTCAAAATAGAGTGGAAAGGTAGAAAAGGAGCCTTTGTTTGTATTGGTTCTGGATTTTTGTATTGGTGTTGATCTTTTATTGGTTCTGGATTTTATTCATTATAATCGAACTACTCTTTATCTAATCAAAGTATCAAACAAAGTTAATCATATTTGGCTTGTCATTTTTTCCTTGATGACTCACAAGCCAATAATAAAAACTTATTTATTTAGGCAGGTTATAGTTTTGTTGGTGCGCATCACTTTCTACAGGTGGGACTAATGGCGATTAACTCATTTAATAAAGAAAAAAAAAATTTGATAATGGCCAAATTGAAGGCATAGTTGACTGGAATTATTATGCTTATCAGATGAAATTTACTAATAAGTTATTGGATAAAACTATAGATCTGTGCCATTTATTTGTCTTTACTCTTAAAGAGTACTATTAGCTTGCGCAATTTATTATTCCCCTGCACTTTCTAATGTTAAATTCAATTGTAAACTTTGATGAAGATTTACCTAAGATCGCATACAATAGTTCGAAGTTTGACCAGGTGCACGAATTTGATTTGTTCTCTCAATTAGCATTTTGAATAATCACGATAAGAAGAATGATAATTACAGAGACTTTTATGATTTGAGTTAAAGATACAAAAATACCATATGTGTACGACAGGATTATTGATCAAAAGTGAACATGAAACCAAGTGCATTCTTAACCGTAGTAACTACGAAGTAATTTTAAGTATAAAATTATTCAAATAAAACATAATGAATTCAACCTGTCAAAATATCAAATAGAATTTATGACAGCAATATATTAGTTGCAGCTAACTTTATCAATTCTATGTTCATTGAACTGAAAATCTTTTCTAAAAGCTGCGAATTGTAGCAGATGTTTAGTACATTTCAGACCGGTTTGAATTTTTTAAGCAAAAGCAATTCTGGAAACGGAATAAAACAATTTTTTCTCCAAGTTAACAACATTTTCTAAAGAAGCTAATATGATAGTGAGTTTATATTAATTATTTTTTATGTTATAAAAAGTTTATTTCATTCTTTTCTTATTTTTTGTATCTGAAGAAAAGTTTATCTAAAGAGGTTCTACCTTCCACAAAAAAAACCAATCCCATACTTAGAACTTAGAATCATCATTATTTCATTAGATCTGAAGCAATACGTAGATGCATATGATACATGCTTTATGTTCATGATTGACATTTCTGTGCGTGCGCAAGAATCTGTCATTGGAATTGCATGGTTTTTAACCAGACTAACCAAAATACATACAGGTCGTGACCGAATGCTTGTGTAGTTTTTTCATCCTTTTCTTCTTCAGCAAAACATGTTTTCATTTCATTACTTTGCAATAATCATTCTAGGTTGCAGAATTGATGCATTAGTCCCTGGCCATAACATGTGTACTACACAGACTGCAATATCTCATTAAGGAAAGTGGCTTTTACTTTCAATTATATGAAAAGGATAATGTCATGTGATTATATTCTCATTGGAAGAGCTTGATAAATCGAGCAAATAATATCTTTGATTAATTAATTTAGAGAAAACGGTAAGGTTTTTTGTTCTTTTTCTTACCGGGTCTTGCCAGTTGTACACAATCAGTAAAATAAACTAAGAATACAAATTGAACAAACAGAAAAAAACTGAGGTATGATAAAACTTCATTACAAGTAGTGATATAAATGCAGCTGCTGTAGAGCAGAGAAAGATATACATAACATATCATTGTCCCAGATGGGAAAGGAAGGGGGAGAGGGGTAGTAATTAAACAGAAAACTTATAAGGAAACAGATATGATATGCTAAACAATCTCATGACATGACTAATGCCTTATTTGATTCTGAGCAAACCCACAGCAGAGAGAGATGAAAAGCCAAGCATCAGACTTGCCTAGAGGGCAGATTTCCTCAGGTCAAATGTCCTGATCAGGTTTGTAGTTCCTTTCTTGTGGCATCATTTGGCCATGGCTCCAACAACGGCAGGAACCCCAGAAGCAAATACTTGAACTTGGACAAAAGTGGTGGTGTTCTCAACCCTAATAGCCTCATCATGATCTTCTTCTGAGGACTAATTTGAAGGAGGAGAGGGTAAGGAGATGAAGGGATAAAGGAGGGTAGAATTGCTAGTTATTCTTACAGTTGGATATATATTTCCTAGAACAGGAGAGATGGATGAAACAATATTCTATATTCTATATAAATACATAAAATGCCAAGACTCTATCTAGTTCACCCATTCTTGGATTTATTCACTATTTCTTGTACCAATATTGACAAAGAAGGAATATTCTATTACGTAAGATATCTTATAAGAATTACATGGGAATCCGGTGTCACTTAAGAGAAAAGGAATTATTAATACTGAAGAATAATATTGTAGAAGAGTGCATAGAGCATTGAATTGCTCATGCAAGTGGCCTGAGGGGTTTATTTATCTATATGGTGGACCTAACCAGCTGTATTATCAATAGATGATGAACAATGCAAAGCTGATCTGAAGCACTTATTTCATACCATTGGTGAAAAAAAAGAAAGTAGTTGACTTTACATTATTTCAATAAAGTCTCATAAGTAGTGGGAGGGTTTGAATAGTTTATAAGAAGTTTTAGGTTTATGTTATTTGGAAGGAAAAGTTCCAAAATATAAGGAATATCACTAAGCATATGGCTTCAAATTTTCAATCATAGACTTGAAAAACCTGATAGTTTATTTCCTGTAGCTTATAAATTATCAGGGTGTTGATTTATGGGAGCATTGTTAATGTATGATATTAATGTTTACAATTTGAGTTGTGAATGAGGACAAATTTGTATTAATTGTAAAGTAGTTTAGTGCAATTATGAAACCTTGCATTATTAATCTTTCTTGTGGAGTAGGTGGTTTTCTCTTTAATGAAAAAGTAAAGCTTTAGATAAAGTATGAACTACGGTTGTTAAGCTTGATAAAGTTGCTATGGATGATTGTTCCCAAGATTTTGGTGGATGCTTCAAAGTTTCTTCTATTATACTCAACCATATATTTATATTGAAGTTTAGAAACAAATAATTTCCTCAATTAACCTGCCCAAAATTTCAAGCTAAAACTCTTTCAAGAAATTTGTTATTTGCTGGAAATGAAAAAAAGAAAAAAAAAAACACCCATTCTCCACAATAGCTAGAACCATTATGAACAAAATATCAACCCTTTGATTATTTAAAACAGTTACATACTTAACGAAAGCATGAATTAATTTGAAATGCAATGTTTGCAACACAAGGTTTTCAGAATCATTCAAATTCAAAGGGACAATTTGCATCAGAGTTATTTCATGTCCATTTTGTGTGATCATGAAATCTCCAACACTTGGTCAAGTAGTAAAGGACAACATACGTACCAAGGAATCTGTACGGAGGAGTCGTGTTGGGTCTTCCAAAAATTCTAAAATAAAGTTTGAAAGAAAAGGAAGCACTTCATTTGGAATGATAATCACGAAGGACTTTTGTGTGCCTTTGTTGTGATATTGGAAGACATACCAATCTTTCCCTTGTGGTCTTCTTTGTTGCATGCTCTGTGAATAATATTTAGATACTTATGATTTTGTGTTTAAACATTTTACAATGTCAAAGTTCTACATTACTTCACTTTACTTCCATTTCATGTGTCTAAGATCATGCAAAGTGAGCTTGGTGTGGTGTAAATCCTCAAATTGGCTACTATAGAAAATACATTTTATATTACTTGTTTATATTTTATTATAATTTTTATCTCTTTCTCTTACATCGTTTATTGTATTTTTCATTCTTTTATATCTTTCTTGTAGTAAACATTACCATAAACATTTTATGAGAATGTTACTTTTCTTCTCCTATTTTCTCCGTATATATGTACATTCCAAACAAATCATGTAACAAATTTTATAAATATATGTTTTGAATTGACTCTCACATGCATAGAAAAGTGGATTAAAACATATTTGTTTTCTTTATTTAAGATGGTCAAAATATCAATATAAGGATAACATATATAAAATAAAATAATGATAAAAATATGATATAATAACATCATAATTAATATTAATGTTATCTAATATTCAATGTACATTAAGTAATATTATTGTTCTTAGTGATAATAAAACTGGTGATAATAATGACAGAAATGATAATTAAAGGACTATTATAATAGTTATAATATTAGTATATTATCTTTATAACATTTTATACACATAAGAAACATATTATCCTTACATGATAAAAAATAAATAGGTAATTAATTAAAATAGAAGAATATCTTAACTTATCATAATAAAACTTTGTAAGTTTGTTTTTTCCATTATGAGAATATACTCTTTTTCTTGTGTGAGCTACGTTAAGAGAATGGCAAAAAAAAAATCTATAAAACTATATTTTTTTAGTACTTTCATGAGTAAAAAAAACTTCTAAAATATTCAATTGAATGATAAATGTGATCCTTAAAAGAGAAAAGGATTTAATTTTGTCCTTGAATTTATAAAAAATACAATTTGATCCATAAATATTATAATTTAATGATAAAAATGATGTCATTGATTCTTAAATTTACATTTTATTGTGTTTCCGAACATACATATACTTTGAAATCCTTCATTCGAAGTGTGAAGTTACAGAACTCAATTATGTCTTTTAAACTTGTCTGCTTAAAATTTATAGGGTTTTGCAAATCCACGTATAAAGGGGGGAAAAAACCCTTTTTGTTTTATACCACAGCTACAATGATTGTTTCCTCAAATTCATTCAACTTAATATTTTCAATTCTTCTTTCCTTTCTCTAGCCAACCTTCTCTTTTTCATACGCAAAATAATTCTCACGAGTTTGAAAAATTAATAAATTAATATTAGAAATAGAATACATTTTCTATATTTTTGGAACATACATTAAAGACACTCGGCCATTGCATTCTTATCCTCTCCCCCACATATTCAAGAAAAAAAAATACATAATCTAGCATAAAACTACAAAAAATATTCAAAAATAAAATAAGTGTCCCGATATAAACATGAACATCATTTCTGCATCTGCATTCATAAATGATCAAGGAGTCAACTGAAAATACACTGGATTTCTTCTGAATTCTTTAAATTATGGAACAGCAATAACCTACTAAATACCAGTACAACACTTCAAAGCCTGAATTGATGTCCTGATCTAACAAGCATTGGTATTATTGCTGTCTGAAATTTCTCATACCTGACAAGATTTAAGGGGAAAGAAGATATCAATAACAATGAGCAAACAGATATGTCAACGAAACACTTCAGAAAATTCCAGGAAATCGCAGATACCCTGGTTACAGCTTATCCACTAATCAGAGTGACACCATATCTCTGAATTGCAACATCCTGTAAGAGAAATAAGAGACAGCAGAAAATCTGTGGCCGCTTATAAAATTAGCCACCTGCTTGTGTATTTGTATTGCACTATATATATGTTTCTTTCTTTTAGCCTAGCATGAATTTGGGTGCGAGAGACACAAAATAAGACTAGCAACCCAAAATAAAAGCATGCACTTCAGCCCAACTAGAGACTGTGTAAAGAATCCCAGATAAACCCTTCCAATTAGAAGTGCTTCCTTCAACGTATTCTCTCTGTTTCTTAACCAAGCCAGAATACAATGGAACAAACGAAATACCAAACTGTGTCCCTACTCTCCTAAGGCTTGAACTTGAACCAATCACAATTCCTACATCTGCTTCAAGTAGGCAAAGTAAATCACCCACTGAATCTCCGATGTAAACAGTTAATTTCTTCTTGTCATCACTGCAATCTTTCAGTATGTTCCGAAAAGCTTCAACCTTGTCAATAGGAGACTCCACTTTCTTAACAATTTCACCCGTGGAAACAGATCCCTCATAAGTGAACTCATTAGCGTGAACATCCAACTCATTTAAATCAGCTGCTCAGTAATTAAAAAAAGTATAATTATAAGAAATTATTTAAATGAAGTTGCCAATTTTCAATCAAGTTGACAAGTTCTCAGAAAATTGTACTCATAAAGTAAACAAGAAAGACATCAACAATTATTTAATAACAGAGAAGCAATGAAGGTTTGATCACGGCAATCTGTCCTAGAAAACAAGTATTTCAATGAAAATTGCACATATGCTCCAAGCAAATAACAAAAAGAGATCAAGAGAAACAAGAACGATGAATACTTTACCCCTAATTCATTCTCACAAACCATACCAACAAAAAGTTCACACTTTCCGTGTCAAAAATATAAAAATGTATAACTTTATCAGATAATAACATGTCTGGTTGCATGATAAAAGTTGAATCTGTATCCTGAAGGGTTTTTTACTGGATGTCTACTGTAGTTAAATAACTAAAAGTTGAAAAAAAATTATGTATCAAGTTGCAAAATAGAAGCTAGCTAAACAAAAATTCCAGCAGAGTTTTCCACTTTTTTTACATCACAGTAACAAAAATTCCCTTGGATTCCCTAGTAAAAGTAAGGATTATAAAAAAGGGAAAATAGTTCACTGTCTCCAACAAAATACACCAGAAAGTTGCATAAACCTCACAAAACCATCACCTGCCTTATTCCTGACACTTTAAAAACATCATGAGAAAATGCTCAGCAATGAAAAGACGTGTATGTTCATCAACAACCCAAACAAGTTATTCTATGTAACTTGGTTTGATAAGGATGACTCCTAAAATGCAAAATTGACACAATAATATGATTACTAGCAAGAGAACAGAAATTACAGCTCATGGCAAGGGATATGTACCTGAAGAGAAAGCAGACCTTATGAGGTCAACACACCAGCAGTATGAAAGAACATGCACGTTTGCATTTAAATTTTCATTCTTAACGATGCTTTGAAAGAAATTAGTGCATCCATCTTGAAGGATCAACCGCTCTCCAGCACGCTTTATATCTTCTAGACTTATACCCTTGAGTACCCCAGACTCGATAACCCTATTATTTGCCGTGTTCTCAAATTTTGAAAGTTGCTCCACGGCCATAGACAATTCTTTGTAATCAAAATAGTCCACTACAAAACACATGAGATTAAAGACAATTAAAGTCTGAGCAAAACAATGACGGCCTAAGCTATTTAAGACTACTGGGGAAAGAATAATAGAAAAACACCATACATGCATCAGAAGGCATAATGCTTTCTATACATTGCTCATACTCCTCTGTATACTGTTTAGATAAAAAGCCCCATGTATTCCTGAGGTCAGAAGATGACATCCTAACAATCTGATCTTCAGGTTGATTCTGATCAGATCTTGGTGCTGTCACTATAGCAATTTCAGCCAAGATCGCAGACGAATCAAGAACGGTGCATGTTAAATCAAAATCAGAAAAAATTATGAGATGATCTTCCACAGGCTTATGTTCTTTAGTCAAGGGTACTATAGTCGGCTGAAAGAGTGGCTGTGCAGAAAAGAACTCTATTTCAAGCTTCATTGCTTGGGAATAAAGCTTTTCAATGACATCAAGTTCTTCACCAGTCAAAGAGACACTTAGTTTGTCGAGCAAATCTTCAGTTTGCAGAGTAGTAGCCTAAATTCAAATATAAGAATAACTGAGTAGTTGGGGTGCAAGAATGCGATGACTAAAATGTATATTTGACCAAGATTCAAAATAGTATCCAAGCACCACAAGGGCATTATGGTATGGCTCTACTGTCAATATGACAAACCTGGAAACCATCAGAGGAATAGTTGTCGATCCACTTGTTATACGGGTGAGTACCTTCATTGGAATCCAAAAGTTCCTGGAATTTCTTTCCCAAAACGGCATAAAGCCTCATGCAAGGAGTCATGGCACCTAAAGTATACGCAGAAATTTTTGTTTTCTCAAACGGTGTAGCAAGTTTACCAGGACCTTTTAGTCCTTCAATCTTCCCAGAGGCTGTAGCCAGCAGGAAATCTGTGTACTTAACAGTTGCAGAATTAATACTGTGCTCTTTGGTAAGGTCCAACCCCCATTCCTACACAAAATTAACAAAAAACCAAAAATAATATACGCTAAATAGGTGGCAAGAGGAAAAGAAAACTGAGCATGCGAAACATAAATTGGCAGTTCGAAAATTTATGCAGTTAGCACAATACGATGCATACGTTATTCGTTTTATGCATTTGAAGTTTAAAGATATGCTTAATCTCATACACACTGTCATAATAACAAGACACTGAGGGGATGTTCAAGCAAAAATTGTACATTTTCTTCCTTCCCAGAAATAATTTACAAGCACTAATTGTCTTGTTCCACTGGAATGGATGTCCCGTGTGGTCAAACATAATAAAAAAACGCAAATGTCTTGAGTTTTTTAAACAGTGAAAAGGGATCCAATCAGCATATAGAAGAGTTTTATTTCCTTTACTATCCTATTTACAAGTTGAAAATAATGGCAAATGAGCTCTTAAACTGGAATAATTCACAATTAGAGTTACGACTCACAAATATAAGTTAAAGAACCATATCCGAAGACCATGAGCCAGTTCAGAACCATGTTAATGTGGAAATTGTCTAACCTGTACCAGCGAGCTGTGCATCTTCAACTCCTCTAGTACTGCCTTCCTCAACTGACAGATTCCAAGTTTCGCATCGTCATCATCAGCACATTCTTCAGCCAACTCATACCTAAGTAACAATTGAACACAAAGAAGAAACTTCAAACAACCAAATTGTTTTGCACAGTCTTCTAACACCCTTCTCTATTATAAAGAAAAAGAAAAGTCAGGGGGAGAGTAGAGTAGGTCTCGCACGGTTTTTGCTAGATTTAAATACCGAAACTCACCTCACTGAATGTATATACAATATCACCAAATAATCTAACCTTCCAGTTTTGGTTGCAAAGAAAACTGACAAAAAGAACAAAGACATAAAAAAATATTCCAACCGAACACATGACTTGAGCGGTACTAACTTGGAATAAATTGAGTGACACGAAATAAATATCGTTGAGTGACGAGAACAGTTTTGCTTTCTACCATCTACAATAGATAGATAATAATTTCCGCATAACTGCAAAGCTTCTTAGCAACCAAACTGGAGAAAAAGGACCTAGGGGAGCGATTGTTTGTGGATAAGCATGTATGTTTGTATGAATAGTATGAATTGAAGAGAGTGAACTCACGCTTGAGCAAAGGCGCGTAGGAAATGGACGTCTTGAGCGATGTAATGGTGAAAGGAATCGATGTTCAAATTACCGGAGGCCAAGGCGATGGCGAAGGGAGTGTACATGGCGAAGATGGATTGGCGCGTGAACTTGATCCAGAAGCGTCTGGCAAGCCCAGGTTCGCTGTTGGTGTGGTTGTGGATGGCCGCCATTGGAATTGACGATCTCAGAAGGGAGCGAGGAGAAGCGAAACCCGGCCAGAGAGGAACCAAAGCTCTGAACGAGATTGAACGCCTCGGGCTCAGGTTCAGATTCAGCGGGCTTTTGATTGGGCTTAGGCGGAACCACCGCATGCGCATCAAATATCAATTACACACACGCATGCCTCTCTCTCTCTCTCTCTCTCTCTCTTTTTCTCTCTCTTGTCCTGTGTGTTTGTTTTACAATCTACACAGTGAGTGAGACGGAGAAAGAGACGAGTGCTACTCCTGGTCCTGGGTCCTGTTTGCTTCCACCCTCCATGGGCTATCGCCTCTCACTATGGCCCAAGCCCAGCTTAAAGTACATTAGGCCCATAAAAGCTTGTTATTCAAAACGTACAATTTTTAATGTTTAATCTTGAAATATAACCAACTTAAAATATGATTTTTAATCTCTTTGAAATGAATATATTAATTTTTATTTGTATAAAATTTGAAATAATTATTCTGATAGGTGAATTTTAGTTTTAATTTCTATAAAAAATATTTTTCCTTGTTTTCATATCTTGAAATTATTTAGGTTTTAATATTCATTTTAAAATATATAAATAATATCTATTTTAGAATCTCAAAACCTTTTTAGAGGTGTTACGATCATTATACCAAAGACATTATTAAATTAAGGGTGACTAGAAATTGTTACTTGAATTTTTCGTGTCACATAATATTTATAAAAAAAGTAATGATTTAAAAAAAAGAATAAAAAAGTAAAAAAAAATTATATAAGTGTTAAGTTAAAACTCGTTCATTCTCTAAAAATTAAATTTTTTTAATTGATATATATTTGATGAAACATCTCAAATGTTTCTATCCATTAACTTGTAAAACAACTTAAAAATATCTTATCCATTTAGGGTAAGACTATGATTACAAGTTACTTAATTATGGTTGTTATATTGTTGATGAGATAACATTAAAGAATTACTTGTGACAAATGTAATATATTGTTGATGGTTAGATGTATTAAATTTATTAATAAATTACACAATTTTATAAAATGTCTTTTATATTTATAATAAATTACATAATTTTACAGTTACAAACTGTAATATAAATAGTAAAATATTTGGAACCAAAATTGGAAAAAAAAAATTGTTTGTTTTTTAATTGATTTTTTATTTGTCTTTATTGGTTGGGAACGCATTCTATATAGCTAGTGATTTATAGGAGAATAGCCAGCCAAGGCATAGACAATTTGGTGTGATGTGCCCGTATCATATATGGTGAGAGTAGGGAAAGTCATGAAGAACTTTTTTTTTTTTTTTCACTTCTAGATTGATTCTATTAGTAATAGTATTATTGTGTTATGGGAGGAAATTATATTTCTATTGATTATATTTTCAATATTGAACAATTTGTATTAATAAAATATTTCTATTGTTTTCTTTTTATTCTTTTGAAAGTATTAATATTTTTTGTAAATATAATTCTTGAATATCACTGCAATTTCAAAGTATTAAAGTATTTATATTGTCCAGAAATTAAATTGTCGAACACAATCTAATTGTGTTCACGGAAATCAAAATCTGGAACAAATATTTGTAAAAAAAATGTTCCAAGTATTTAGTTTCCAAAACACTGCTAGTCAAATTTCGAAATATAAATTCCCCGTTATAATACCCAGATGCATTAACTTGTCTTTTATTATTATATTATTATAGGGTTGTCAAGTTAAAATATTATTACCAAATTATCCTATTCTTAACCAAGTCGGTGTCAGTATTTATTAAATAGCATTTGTTTAAGGCCCCGTCTGATCTTTTGAGAGAGAGGGTGTTGGAGTCAGAGATTTAAAAAAGTATTTATTGCGAAGAGTAAACATTGAAAGAGATGGGAACCGTACCAGATTTTAACTTTGAAGGCTCGAATCTTGATTCTGTGCAATTCGATATCTGTTAACAAATTTAGCTTATATTTGGCTACTATATGAGGCCTCATTCCATGAAAGGATGAGCTAGTAATTAATAAATATATCGTGGGAGGTGAATTCTTTATTCGAGAATTTGTAGTGATAGGATAAAAATAGCCAACTCGAGAGCAATGAAAATGCAGGAGGGATCATGTTCATATAGAAAATTTTTGTTGCCGCATTCTGTTACCATAATTAGGTAAAATTCCTATACTTCTTTCTAGATACAAAATCTTATTCCAAGCAAAGCAATGTGCTCAGAAGTAAAAGTTCATGAAAAAATGAGGGTGACAACTTTATAGAAAAGGCTATTACAGTATTATTCTTTTTACTCTAAGCATAAAATCTACTTGCACGGCGTGATGATCTACCTTTTGTCATCCATCACTGAGATGTAAATTTTGGTTTGTTTAATACAGTGAATTGTTCTGACAAAACCAAAGTCAACCGTTCAAGCACCTCCATGATAGCATCTAACAGACGTGTCTTGGTAACTCCATGGAGGTGAGTAATACCGGTGGATCAAATCTACACCAAAAGCTCTCAATCTGGACGCGGCAACAAAAAGCTAAACCCAGAGTTTTCACGAATTAATGGCGGAGGCTCTATATCTGCAATATCTATCTGTTCCATTGATTTCGATATGTCATCAACAGAAAACGGAATACTGCACAAAATAGATGTTTTCAAATGGTTAATGATACAATATCACGATATAAATTTACAAAAGGATCTATTAAGAAATCTAGCTTCTCAAAATAGCATTCAACTCAATATGGATGATCATTTCAACTAATACTATAAGAGTAAAATATAAAATAAATGTAAAACTTCTTACATTAAATCAGCTTATGGAACTATAATTTTTCAAAAGCTCCCTCGCCGAAATTGTTTGTAACCACCAGTAAATTCATCAAAACTTGACATTCTTGCCTCACAAAAACCATACTAGATTTTCATAACTAAAAAATTCAGTTAATCCATGTTAGACCTGGTCTTCACTTACGTGTCCAGATTATAGCATATTTGGAACTTTATTTATTTTCCTTTTCTACAACATTTCTGGAAAAGAAAACATTGTCCTGAAAATAGTTTTCCCAAGCATGCTTTCTGACTCGGTACACAACAAAGTAATCTTGAAGTGAAATAGTCCAATGCATGTGGTTATAAGTTTTGTAGCTTACATAACAACGGACAAAGCTGTCTATATTCCGTGTAAGAGTGTGCGTGTGGCCAAGTTAGGGATAACAAATTTGAGATTTGAGAAAAATTAAAGTCAGGGATCGCATATTGAAAAAAGCCCTGAACTTCAGGACAATAACTCAGTATATATGTTTCTGTGTTTAGTCGCCGTGCATCATGTTAAACTAATTATAAGAATTTGTAGAAGCACCAATAAAAAGTGAGTGAACTTAACTATTTTGCATGAGTATTAAAAAGTATAGGCAAACCTCAACAATTATCATATGAGCTAATGATATCTGACTGACCTTGAATCGTCATCCAAAAGGAAAGAATTACTAACTGCATTATTTGAATCTTCAGTCATTAATACTCTCATGTTGGATATGACCTAGATAAAAACATCAATATCGCAAAGTTCAGCATGGCTGTTCTGTACATCTTATATTTGAAATTATCGGACTGCTTTCTAACATGGACGATTTTAAACACAGTTTTAGTAAAACTTTTCTGTAAAAACTTACATCAGAGGACACACTATGCGTTCCATATTTGTCATCCCAGTACATGGTGCTTATCCGATACAGCTGCTGTATACTGAGGACCTGTACACAGGGACTGATAATGGTAACTATGCCATAAAGTGAACTTTCAACGGCAAATATTTTTTCTACTTACTGGGCACAGGTCATGGCTTATTTCATCCAATGTTTTCTTTGGTTTCTGATGTATGACCTAAAACAAAGGAAAAATCAGTTCATCATATTTTTCCTAACACTGACCATATGGAGAAAAAATAAAGTGCCAGATGGTATGTAGCCAAAAGTAGATCAATACCAGAAATCCAATTGCTTGTCTAATATGTTTGAGCTCATCCCAGGCAGAACCTGCATACTGAATTTTTTTTTTAAGGGGAAGGGGGGTGAGGGTTAGTACATGTACCTGTTAAAAGAACTAAAGAGAACAACAGCATTGCGAAGTTAATGCACCTCATCTGTTGCCTTATAACACCAATGCTCCAATTCAGCCAAACCAGCTTTGACATATTCTCCATTGCTAAATGAGCAGCACTCCCGTCTTAAAAGTAAACTGTAACCAAAAAAATACATGAGATGATTAAAATGAGAATTCGGACTTACAGTACAGAAGACATCCCTTAAAGTGGGATATTAGTAGTGCTGAACAGACCAACCTGTTGAATAATTGTACATTGATGAAAGAAAAGATTTGTGTGAACACCTTACGAACTAAAAAGGGAGGAACCTGCCAAAATTTAGCCAAAGTGGTAGAAATTACAAAACTAAATGAACGAAAATATAACAACTTGCCAAAGAAAGGCAAATAAAATAATGTTAGAAGAATATAATATGCCGACCTTTATGAGACCAAATTATGAAGACCAGTTCAAAAATTTATGCAAACCTCCTATATTTAATTATTAATATAAATCCCCCTTTATTTAAATTCAAATAAAGAAAATATATGTAAGTTGAGAAACAATAAGGGAGGTCATGTAATTTTATTAAATTTTAATAAAAGTATGCATGATTTTATCACTATATTAAATGGGAGTGATCCAAAAATATATGTAAAGAGCCAGAAGTGTTATTGGCACATATTGCTATAAGGAGGCAAACGCATATAGAGAATGATGTCAAAAGAGATTATACTAACATGATTAGCTTTCAAAGTATTTAGAAAGTTTCCTAGGCTCTTCACAATCCCCTGCCAATGAGCAATCAAAGCACGCTGGGCTTCAGTGTTTGCAACAGAACGTGATGATCCCTTAACAAGGCTTGCTCTGGATGTTCTTGGTGCCTATCTCGAACATTGATGTTTTAAATGAATGATATTCCAAGGAAATGTGAAATGTATCAATTGGAAAAAAAAATGATTGCCTTAAAGCCTGCATTATAGACCTGTTCGTAGAATCTACAGATTAATGAATAAATTGTCATACCTGGATGCATAATCCGAGTAAGGGAGAAATTTCTTTCTTCAAATTATCACGAATCATTCCATATATCTTTTCCACATATGCTGTAAGCTGTTGTTTAAAAAGCAGTGCAGGATACTTGGCTTCAACTTGTCTTAATGTATCTACTCCTCTGCTTGCGCTACCATTGACTAGGGAAAGATTTACTCCAGTTGGAGTTCCACGGAAACTCTGGAAAAAGGAGACTATTCTTATATGAAGAATAAAAGATTTTCATTGGGAAATAATTTGTTGAGATCAGAAGCTATGCTTACTTGAGTCATCCTCCCAAACAAGGTTGCTGATGAAGAACGACGACGTTGTGGAGCCATTCCAGCAGCACCACTAGCCTTGAGCGTGCGCTGGAGTAACAAGAGAAGTGTAGAGGCATTGGATAACCAATAAGCCAAGACGTCATTGTTATCCTGGGTCTGAAATTCGAATGGTATATATAAGCAACTAGAAGCTAAGAAAGAGGAATAAGAAAAACAGATCACTAGCATGTGCAATTTGCATTTACACACCTCAATTGCATGGCCGACAGTTTGGATGATTCGATCAAAAACGCTAGTACGTTCAACTTCAAATGATCGCCAGTGCAACAAGCATTTGTATATGATACAGGCAGCAATTGGTCTGTTCCCAGCAAAGCCTAGATGTTGTGCAATACATCTAATGAGTAACTCTTGATTCTCTTGTTGTTTCTCATTTAGTGACTTTTGTGGTTTATCATCGAAGCCATCAGAGGGTTCCCTCCGATGCATTGATGTGCTATGCATTTCCTGATTAGCCTATTAGGTGACCAAGAAAAAGTCAAATCCGTATAGATATACCAAAATCCAATAACAAAGAATTTAAAATTGATTTATTTACCATAGGTGTCTTCGCTTCCGGTATAATATGACCACTTTCAGTTCTCTATAGACAGACAAGAAACTCCTTTAAACCAATGTCAAGCTTTATATTGTTTCTCTGCATATAATATTCATTATTGGGGGATTACCTGGATGATTGATCTTGAACGTCCTGAAAGGAACTTATTAGGTGCCATGGACACAGCTTGTTGACGTAATACCTGATTCTCTGATTCTAAATTAGTAATCTTCTCTTCTAGCCTGTTCATAGAATTATGAGGTTTCAGTTAACCATCTCAGTGAATTAAGAGTAGGCATGATATGATGAAACTTTGAAATTATGGAACATTTAATGAGAAAAAAAATCTCTACAACAAGAAATTTGGTACACAAGTTTGGACAAGTCATCCAATATTTCAAGGCTGATCATCATTGATTAAAGGGTGACCCAGTTCACAAGGCTCCCACCACTTAGTACGTCAGGGATAGTAAATGTACACAGCCTTACCCCATTAAGTAGAGAGACTGTATCCAAGATTTGTACTAGTCACCTCTTGGTCACAGTTAACAACCTTAACAGTGAGCCAAGGCTCTCCTTTGCTAGACATCATTGATTATTTCTGGAAAATAATTAAATAAGGTTGGTTATTATTTATATTACCTAGTCAATGATTCTTGAAGTTGACGACCCTTCTTCTCCATCTCTTCTAGTTTTTTACCTCTTTCTTCAATACAAACTTGGGCTTCATTGTATTTTCTTTCAAAGTCATCAGCTTTCTGTTTCTCTGACTCAAGTGAAGTCTGTATGAAGATAAAGCCAAGACAAATCACTTAAGATGAGATAACCACCATATGCAGCTACAAAAACATTGGTATATCACCATAAGCTTAAGAGAAAAATTATGCTCCATCATCAGTTTTTAATAAACTTATCCAAAGACATATTTATAATCATAAACATTTCAGTTACATCATTTTTGCATTCATATTAGTCTGTCCAATAAAATATATCATCCTAATACAAGTTATTAGAGTAGATATATAACCTATTGTCAAGTGCCTCCACCTAAACTCTTAATTTTTTAAATGATTTGTTCTTGATATTTAGACATGGTATGGAAGCTCCATGACAGTAAAGTGTACTTGTAAGTTTTAATACAATCATCCTTGACATTCAGTACAAAGTAAAGTGCATTTGTGCATTGTGCACACTTCAAAGGACATTTTGAAAGGTAAGAATATCACTCGATATCTACTAGCATTAATTATATTTTTATTAAATAATGAATAACTTTATTTGATAACATTGTTAATTTGAAGCGAATGAAAATTTATCACACTGTTCCTTAAATCAACCAGAGAGAAACTTGCTTTATTATATCCCTTGATATTAAGGATTTTGGGAGCGTTAATCAAATCAAATAATAACCCAGAATACTAGAGGTGTTTCATGATAACACAACACAGGCAGATTGGCATCATATCAGAGAAACAGTGGCCAGTCTTGTTATATCTCTTACACAAATATCTACAACACTTCAAGTAGCTGATATTTTTACCAAGGCTATGAAGACAGCAGCACAGGTTTCTTATTGCCAAATTGTTGTTGGTTGGAAACCAGCCTCAACTTGACGGGGGATGTTAATGAAATTAATGTGACAATCCAGGCTGTTATAGGGCGCATATTTATCACACGGATTTTAGGTTGGGCTGTTATAATCATTATTTTCAGCTGCATTATTCTTTATAGACATAATCTTATGAATGTACTTCCTTTCTAATAAATATGCACTATATATCTTCAAGATCTCCTAGAATGTCTATCTTGTAAAGATGCCGAATGACCATTTAATAAGAATGGTTTCTCCTGTCCCAAACACATCTTCCTAATCCTTTGATATGGTTCTTGTGATTTCCTAACACAGATATAGCATCTCATAAAAGTACTCCGAGTTGTACTGCAAAGGTCTCACCAAGTTCTGAAAACATCTTTGATGAGGTGCATATTTAGGCCTAATTTGAATTAAATTTACAACAAGTACATTTAAGAGAAGAAAATAAGAAGATAAAGTGAATCAAACTTCTCCCATAGCTTAAATCAACTTATGCACCTCCATATTTTTACCAGGTCCTTCATTGAACTGCGTATAAATTACCAAGAAGTATATGCAAAATAAGCCATAGTTCTATTCACAGGCTAGGCCACATAATTGGATACGAGTTGTCCAGAACAAGAAAAAATTAAATAACATCCTCACATTGAAATTCTTTATGCATCTCAATCTGATACACCAAATTCCAGATATGATGTTCTTTTTTTCCTTTTCCAATTAACCAATGAAGAAAAAGAGGCTACAAAATTAATGTATCATTCTAAGAATGATATGAGTCATATATCACTGAAAGAAATATTATTATAGAAAGCTGTCAACATTAATCGAAGCATTTTGTATAGAAAATGATGCTCCTTGAAAAAGGGTTCACCTAATAGGGAATTTGATATCAAAAGATTGAAGTTTATTACCTTTAGGCTCTCAATTTCTGTTGTCAGTGTCTCAATCTTCTGTGTATCTTCAACAATAACTTGTGTTTCTTGAATGACAGGAGGTGCTTCTTCAACAACTTTCTTTACAGTCTCTCGCTCTTTGATGAGCAGAGCATTAGTTTCATCGAATTTGCTCTGCATCTCCTGCAATGAATTCTGCAGTTTTGCTATCTCCTGGGCTTTGGATTCTTCTAGATTGGTCTGCACATGATTCCACACGACTTACTTTATGCCTTACCAGTTGTGAGGATACTTAGCAAGTTGCAAATTTTGCCATTTTAACCTTCTTTCTATTTCTTATTCGTGCAAGAAATCAGAACAACAAAATCCTTCCAAATTATATCCATCCACAGAACACGTATCTTACCCTTAAACCTTTTTCTAGTTGAAGACGCCAAGTGAGTTCCTCCACTCGCTTTTCAAGTTTATCCTTTGCTTCTTGTAGGGCACCAGTTTCTTTTGCAGCCTAAAGCAAATGGAAATAATTGTCAACATAGAGAGAAGAAAATAGAAAGATATAATTAAACCAGGAAAACAATATTGAAAAAGTGAGGTTCGTGCTACTTATATTACAAATTAGTCAAGTACTAGCAGCTTAATCAATTGGATCAAGGTGGGGTTAGTTCTAGATTCGATCCCTCATATCACTAAAAAGGAAATAACAGAAATATCACATGACTCAGTTCAGAGCCATTGTGGATGCGATATTCTGTTTTGCAGTTTTTCTCCAAGGTCTATTTTATATCTGTTTCAATTCTTTCAAAATAACAATATGATAGTGGTTTATGAAATCAAAATAAAAAGGGAACAATTTTATGTTTTTTATAATCGCAAGTGAAAGTTAAAGCCAATTTCAATCTTTTTAGATCACAAGATAATTTTTTGTTCCTATGTTGTTTTTCCCTTCATGAAGATAGGGATTATGATGCTGATGATGATAATGATAATGAAGCAAAAAATATAAATATTGTTTGTATTTACTTTTATGATTTGGAACAAAATTTTACGACCAAACAAATTGATTGGATGACAGATAGTCTCCCTTTCCTTTTGTCCGATAAGTTATGTAAGATGAACAACATTACATCTTTAATAATCTACTTTTGAAGGATCGAATTAATGTATAAGAATCATGGTAAACATAAAAAACATACCATTTTTAGTTTCCTAAGTTCTCTCCGGGCTACACGCCCCCTCCATCTGCATTGTGTGATTATTGTACCTTTCTTGAGCCTCTTATAATACAAGGCAGCTTTGTGACAACGCCATCGAGCCTACAATTTTTTGAGAGAATTTAAAATATTGAATACCGATTAACCTAAAGGATAATCCAAATCATTTAGTACTTCACCAAAACCTGAATGATGATGGAAGCTTTAGTCTGCTTCCTAAATCTGAATTCCTTGCGAGAAGCAGTGGCCCTTATAGCTCTTTGTAGTGTAAGTACTGACACATGAAGTTCTTTATACGCTTTCCTAGCTTCATATCTGCGTATGTTCTTTTGGATTTTCATAGCAGCAGCTTCCCTTCTCAAGTGGTCATAGAGTTTGCATGCAAGTCTTCCTATAGATAATATATCACATATCTTAAGGATAACATTAAGTAATAAGGTCCCCTACAGAGCTAATATCCATTATTCTAGTTAGTGAAGTCATACTCTGAACATGATTGCATTTATCCTAACAGATTAATCAGGTTATTTCACTACAGAAACATTTTACCTCTCCACCGAGACTGCAAGTATATGGTCTTCTTTCGCAATGCAAGATAATGTCTGCGAGCTTGATGGGTTCGCACACGCCTTTGGATAACTTTTGCTGCATTACTAAGTACTTGAGCTCTCTGAGCATCTAGTTCAGCCATCTGACCTGCTCTCAAGAACACCTTCGTTTTTCCAATCTACAGCATTTGAAGACAACCAGTGAACATATGAGCAGGGCATATATATTATACATATATGTTACTTATAAGACCATACAAGTCCCCCAGCTGATGTTAGATAGTTAAGACTGAAAGAGCTGTTACAAATTAATGCTAAAATGGGTTACATTCATTCCCAGGGCCTTAAGAGATTTACAGGCACAGATATGAACAACTGGACAAGAGCACGATTCTGGCAATATATCAAATTACCTGATATCCTTTAAGCCCCATCTTTTCCAGAATCTTTTGGCAACCAGTCTTTTCATCACAGCTACCCAAAGGTGAAAAGATTGACATTAGCACCATGCCCAAGTTTGGTACAAAATATTTTAACATTCAAAGCCAAACTTTTCCTCCCAGGCATAATAGAAGATAAACTAAAAGAATGCTTACTTTGCTTCCATGAACTCTGGGGCAAGGAGGCCAAATCTGTTTATAAATTCAAAGAAGGCACGGCGAGTAGGGTAGCCAGCACAACTGATTCTGATTGCCTCCAAAACACCCTAGAGTGGCAAGAGTTAGGAACAGCAGAAGAAGGGGTAAAGAGTTTTAAGGAATTATGGATATATTTTTGTATAAATCATCTTATAAAGAATGAAACAAAGGGAGAACATAAAAGCATACTCACACCACAGCGTAGTTGCTGCATAATATTGTTATTCTCAAAAATTGCAGGCTTGAGAAGGTTGTTTGGTTTGACACATCTAATGTAATGGGGTTCTGTAGAATTTAATGTCTCCATCAGGCTTTGTAGTTGTAGCTGCACCATTCAGAATTTAGTTACCTTCTTGAGAATAAGAATGCAGTTCAATTATTGCAGGTAGTGATGTGAGCTAGTTCACATATTCATTATTTGAATTTTGCGGCAAAGTTCAAAAGTTTACAAATGAAGATTTGGAAATGAATGATACCTTAAAACGAGAACCAATTGAAGAAAATTTGGAAGATTTTGATGTCTCTTCTGGGAGTGGTGGAAAAAGGCCAGAAACAAAAGAACATTTGGAAGCACTCAACAAATCTTGATGTTCTGGAACCACATAGTCCTTGTTTTTATCTAAGAATTGGTCAGACTGGTACAATACCTGCAAATTTGTAAGGGTAAATTTGAATAAGCATACATGTCTCTTTCTGGCAGCAGCCAATGCTATGAGACTAGTCATACCTCCCCAGCATAATGAGCAATTGTGAAATCTGTTCGAGACAATTTTGGCTTAATAAAGCGCTTGTGATTCTTAAATGTTTGATAAAGCTTGTTTGCAAATGTTTCATGAGTTGATTTTGGAAACATGCTGAAAGACAAAGGCAGAAGGTAAAGGCAAGAATAATGGAGATAGACAAATGGAATTGAAGAAACCAGAGAAAAACTGGATCATGTCTACTTTTACAAACTATAGGTTAAAAATTAAAATGTCAAGCAAGCTATGAAAAGGAAGTAGTTCATGCGAAAAAATAACAATATTTTACCAAGCTTCATCGAGGAGAGCAATGATTCCTCCAGGTTTCTGCAAAAGCAAAATCAATGTAAAAAAAAAAAAAAAAAAAAAAAAGGAAGAAGAAGAAAAGGCAGGAAAAGCCTAACTAGGATTGAATTAGGCTGTCAAATGGGCCCAAAGTAATATAACTTAGTGGAAGACTACTCAGAATTTGAAATTCCTTAATTGTAAATTTACATTCATCAAAATAATAGATTGTGTAATATACTCCAAAATACACAATAAAGTTCTGCAGTTCAGTTCCAAAGAAGCAAGAAAGAAACTCGTAAACCAACTTTATTTTCATCACAAGTGCTGCTTCTTTTACATCTACATGTATGCAGTTGTTCTGTAATTAGTATTCATTATTAATCAGAAAGGTATAGTCACGCTAAATAGACTTTGGGAAGAACCTATATTTGATATTTTATAAAGGCAGCATTGTAAATGTCATCATTAAGCATATCAAACGCACACTACCCTTCAGTTTCATTAATGTTATGAACAGTTAAATAGAAGGCTTCCAACTAAAAAAGAGTTAATTATACTTGTTGCCTTGAAGAGAGGGGAAAATAGATGGAAAGAAAACCTTCTCAATAAGGTCCAAAACATCTTGATTGTCAACAAATTCGATGTAGCTCCAATTGATCTGCTCCTTTGTATATTCTTCTTGTTCCATTTTAAACACGTGCTGAAATTCATCATCACAATCATATTAGATATCAAAATAGCAAACAAACTTCAAGTGCATAATTTGTTCTTTAGACTTTGCCTGATTGAAATGTTGCTGCAACTTCTCATTTGTGAAATTAATGCAAAATTGCTCGAAACTGCAGAGCATGATAAACTGAAAATAAGTTACAAAAAGATTGAAACTCAAGAACAAGTAGAGGTAGTTGGTTTCAATATCTTCAGTAATGCACTCTTGTGGACATACTTAAGGATAGATATGTTTATACTTCATAATTATATATTACCTGTTAGATTTAAAGCTTTCAAAACCATAGATATCAAGGACACCAATCAAAGATTTAGATTTGGGGTCTTGTCCAATTGAATTATTAATCTTGTCCACCAGCCTGTTAGCAAAAACACAAATAACCCAGGAATCAAAACCAGAACCCTGTATCCTTATATTCAGAATGTGTCACTAGACTCTACTAAGGTCTTTAAAACGAATGTATGTCCATTTTCAGTATCTTACCAGTCAAATAGCCGAGAATAAATCGTTTTTGCCAATCCATCTCTACTCACAGCAGCACTTTGGGGGTCAAGGCTCCTTTTTATAACTTCTTCAGGGGTGATCATGACTCGCTTACATAATGCGTCTTCCAAGGCATCAGCATCACACCTGATCCAATATTGACAATGATCTCAGAGAAACTATAAACCATACCAACACAAGTAATGATACAACAGTGTCCATACATGAGAAGCTCAGCAGTTGTTTTCAGGTGGAATTTGGCTTTGTCATCTTTTGGAACCGATGAGTCAACATCCTTTCCTTTGGTAAATTCAATATTACCAATATGAAGAATTGCAGCAACAACTCTGAAAATGGCTTCCTGAGAACAAGAAAACAGGACAAAGCAGAGAGGTAGAAAACAACCATTCAATATGCTAGCAACAAAAAGCTACATTCATAATTCTTAAAGAAATACCTGATCTTTTTGACTTATTCCAACAACATCCATAGCTCTCCGGGTGGCAAGATATTCACGAGCATCACTTATTTCAGCCAGTTCATAGCATTTTGACTGGTTAAGGTAGTGAAATGATTTAGGATTTCCTAGTTTGTATTTCTCAATTTCCTGTAAGCAGAATTTTTCAATGACTTTACATAATTAAAAGAATCAACAACAAGCAGATGATAGATAGAAAGCCACCTCCTGTGGTGCAGCGCAAAGAAGATAAAAGCAATGGTAATTCCTTTCAGGATCATTAATTTGGCAAACCCGAGATCTCTCTAGAAGATATGTTCGGATGGCTGCTCCCGATATTCTTCCACTTTTATCAAATTGGATCTCAACAAATTTACCAAAACGACTGCACCATTAACACTAGGAGAATTTGAAACCATCTCTTTGGTAATAGCTTGCACAAGTATCATGTAGCAGTTTATATTAGCAAAAAAAAAAAATTATATATATATATATATATAATTTTCTAAGTTTGATTAAGAAAGGCATCATTCTAACTTCCCTCATTAACATCACAATGATTTTTGGCAATATGACACGATATTAAATGTAATGAAATGACATAAAAATGGAGGCAGAGTTATCTATAATTTCAGACAAATAAAAGTTAATTTGTAACCAGAAATCATAGAGAATCAAACCCACAAAATTCTTTATTTATGATATTATAAAGAGACTCACCTAGAATTGTTATTCCTAACAGTTTTAGCATTCCCAAATGCTTCCAGAACTGGATTTGACTGCACTCAAATCAGTTAATATAAAAGTCTTGAATGAGTTCATATTAGAAGATAAGAAAAAGGAAAGCTATTCCGGAGGGGAAAGGAGAGGGAGTATGAGATGGGAGTTCTGTTAGAGTTAAAAAATGAATGTGTTATTAATTGAACCATACTTCAAGAACTTGTTGTTCAACTGTTCGTCCTTCAGTACCAGCCCTACCACCTAAGAAAGCAAGATACTGCATAAGCATTTTTGTAGTTTCAGTTTTACCAGCTCCACTTTCCCCACTGACTAGAATTGAATTGCTTTTTCCTTCATTAATCATTGCCCTGTTATTAGTAAAAGCATCAATTTAATATTTGCTTCAATTATAGAAATGAAACTTGGATCTTTAGAAAAAATATAATTTTACCGATATGCAACATCAGCAACTGCAAATACATGAGGGCTTAATTCTCCAAATGGTGCTCCCTTGTATTGTGTCATCATATGCGCACCATAAATATGAGGTAGTCTTTGGAATGGATTTATTGCAATCAGAATATTTCCAGTATAAGTCTGCCAAAACAATAGGTGGCAACTTTTTCACTTATAAACTTTACTGAATCTCATTAAATTAACAGAAAGTAATCCTTACGTATATTTCATTCAATTCATATCTAGCCTTTAAGTTCTGCAAGACTCCAGGCTCATGCAAATAGGACAGTTTAGTCATATCGTCCACTCCACCAGGAGGAGCTTCCATATCCTTAGGATATATTTTTGATAAATTTGCATTAACCTTGAAATAGCCAAAATAGAATTACAAGTAATAACTCAGATGTAATCTTTCACCTCATAAGTTACCGTAAAATTTGCACAACATCTACTTAGCAATAGAAGCATGAAAAAGAATGAGTGTTGCATTAAGGAATTATGCAAAATGCCTTTAGAAGTAAACAAATAATAAGTTTTTCTTACTACATTGTTCAATCAGAAAAAATAAAGCAGGAATACAATAAAGACACTGTCGGTGATAAATTCGTTCAAGGCTACAATGACTTTGACAGTGGATTTTCAACAAAATAAACATTAATTAGCACAACTTTTGATGGATCATAATGATGACTTGAATCCCAAGCTGGGAAGTTCAATAATGATAGAAAGAAAGAAGGCTTATGTTATGAATCTCTTCTTACTTTTTAGTTCTTTGCCCGTTTTTACTCATTTTGTGATCTACTCAGCTAAGATAAAGTTGACTAGCAGTGGTTTTTCACTTTTAAGTTGATCATTATGTAATCAGTTGCTATGTATACATACGATGATCACAAGGAGGGCAGGGACAAAGCTAGAATAAATAAAATGGGGACCTAATGTGAAAATTACTTAATTGAAGAGGGGTGGGTGGGAAGGAGGTTAATTTTGTTTTGAAAAATTAATACATAGGATAATTTTTTAAAGGAACAAAAAGGATAGGGTCAAACCCTCCCCTTAAGGCACATTTCACCACCCCTAACGGAGAGGTAAATCATCTAACTGTTGTCGTACAGTAAGCCAATGTCAAATGTTTGCCTATCCTACACATGATGGATTGATTTTAGAATAAGGGCACTGCCTATCAATGACAAAAATTGGCAATAAACCTATCAAACTCCTTCTCAAAGTAGATTGGATATAAAAAGGCAAAAAATCTAATACTATAAAATACTGAACCAAGTACATAGCGCTCTGACAGTCTACAAACCTTTTTTCCATTGGTAGTTTCAATTTCAGCATCCTTTCCATTGATTTTTAATACCTGTCCATCAATCCAAGATACCTCTGGGTCTTCAATCCAGACATGAGAACCCACAATAATATTCACGGGAGTCCCCTGCAGATAGAGATATGGAATCATTTTTTATTACAATTATCTAAGATCTCACTTAGGTTCTAAATATGTATTTTTATATTATCTTTTCAGCAAGAAAAACAAACTAGAATTGTACATACATTTGTCCCATGACGTGTGTCTAGAAAGATCTATAAATTCCAAACTAAACTATAATTTGTCTAACACTGACGCAAGTTTCTTTATTTTAGTTACATAGGATCTGTAATACTAACAGCCAATAAAATAAATCAGAATGTTTTACCATAACTTTCACGAATAGTAGCTTAACAACCAAATGGGTAGCACATAGTAAAGTCAGTCAGTTTAATCACAAAGTTAGCTGTGTTAAGGTTTCAACATGAGGATCTGAGACTTTCAACACGTCCCCTCTAACGAAGTCTGTAACCATACAAAAGGTACTTTAACCCATGATGAAAGGAAAACTTTTGACCCAAGACAACAACTGAAAAAAAATTAGGTTTTAACTCTGAATACTATGTTGGTTCTAACATAAAGGCGATATGTGGAGTAGACTAATAAGTATTTAAACCATATCATATAATATAAGGCAGGCAATCTCGGACTTCCAACAAGATACTGCATGACAAGATATCCTATTTCTTTCCTAATACATCCATTTCTATGTATAGACTGAGATATTTTGATTTTTTTAATCTTGAAAATTTTCCAAACCACAAGAAATCAGACTCTACAAATCTACGTCTAGCAATGCTTTTCAAAACTGGAAGTTCATGTTTTAGCATAAACAATCACGAGTCATAAGAACTCAGGATCTTGAGCTCAATACTATTTTGAAACTTGATAATATGCCAACTAAATCAATATTTCTTCTACCTATTGCTAAAATGAAAAATAAAAGGGTGAAAAAAATATCCCCATCTCTAACACATCTGGACAATATGTCAAAACCATCCACTTCACACAGAACAAACCAAGTGCGATTTGTCTGCATTCATTTTATGATTGATCACCTTTTGTTTCCTAATTTATCCTCTGTAGGCATCAGATCTCTGACAACGCTGCTTAAGTTGCCCAACTCCATCTGAATGCAGCATCTCCCAAATAAATAATTTGCATTTAGATTGAGACAAAACTTAAATGCTGTCCCTCGGGTGCTTTTAATGTTATTCTCCAATTAGAATCGGAATTCCACCTTAATAATCCATATACTAAATATACACATTAAACGTCAGCATAGATTCCTAAGATGAAACTTCAATTTTTATTAGAAAACAATACTAAAAACTGTATATAAGTTTTGTCCTACGGATTTTACCGTTGAACTCCAATCCTCTTTCCTATACTCATCCAAAATCCCAATGTGCATTGATCATGGAGGAGGATCACGATATAAAACAGGTGTGAATTGCATAGAATCACTTGACTGCAAAGTTTAATGAGAAATAACACCTTTCCAGGCATGTATTTCTTAGTTCCATTCCATCATTCACGTAAGTATTTTCAATTCCAACGCAGAAAACGTACGTAAGCATTATTTTTAAAACATAAAACATGAGGACGCTTGAGACGTATATTAATTGTGCATACGACTAACTAAATGAAAGAAAAACGCATCATGCGGAAAATAAGAAAATTGAAAACGGCGAGTGAGGTGTTTGAATAAAAAGCATACCATTATCGCGGTGTCGATGGGAAGGTGTGGGAGGTGTGGAGGAGTAGGTGGTTCATAAAGAGAAGGATAAACGTCAGGGATCTGGTGGCGCGATTTGAATGAAATGTGTAAAGAAAGTGGGAAGAGGTGAAGGTGAAAGTAAGAGGAAAGGGAAGATGAAAGGAGAGAGAAGTGAAAGTGAACGTAGGTGAGGGTGAGGGACTGGGTGTGGGTGTGGATTCATGAGAAGACATTCTTCGTCACGCCCTTCAACTTCGGCACCTTCTTCTTCTTCCCTTTGCTTTCGCGCCAACTCGTGGTTCCCAATCAACTATGTATTTCTCGCTCTTCGCTCTTTAACCCTTCCCTTCTGTTTCAAATGTTTTTCGCTACGCTCAAACACTACAAGTGGCAACTTGTCACTTCTCAATACCGACCATAATCTTCACGTTAATATCCAACTTACTTACCTATTCCAATTATCCATTTATGAATCTGCGTCTCCTCTACCTAATTTCACACAACAAAATACATTAATAGAATTAATATGTAGCTTTCTAATAATAATAATAATAATAATAATAATAATAATAATAATAATAATAATAATAATAATAATAAGGACAACAATAATCGATTAATAATTTTCAGTTTCTTATCTAATTCATAATGGAAATATTATTTTCAACAATTTTGTATTAGTAGTTAAACTTATAAATTTCTAATAACATGGTAACTTTACTGTGTTGAGTTGACTGAGTTTTAACTAAGAAGTTTTGACAATTCCAACAACTTAAATATTGTTATTTTTATTTGAAACAAACAATTGAGAAAACCATTTATCTAGTTAACTCCGAACAAAAGAAATAGATTAATTGTTACATAATAAGAACTGCTAAGTTCGTTATTAAGAGCATTGGGTCTTAATCAGGATTGGTATTGAATAAGATTCTATGTTAATAAATAGTATTTAATTATATAATTAAATTAATTTTTTAAACTATAAAAGATTAAAATATAAATAAAAATTATAAAAATGTAAACCTTACTTAACTTTTAAGAAAATCTTAAAATAGTATAATTATTCAAATAAATAAGACGATAAAGTTTTATAAAACTATTTATAATAAGAGGTTTAACACCTATCTTAAGTTAGTATGGTGTTAAAGCTTTTTCTTTTTTTGGTAGAAGTTTGGTGTTAAAACTATAAATATTACATTTTTTAAAATAATTAATCATTTTTAAATATTTTATTTTGATTTTTTTTTACTTTTATTAAATTATTAAAAAAAATACTTGGTAAGTCGTGACTAACCATATATCAAATTTATGTTGTCAAAATTTGGGTCATGTATATATATAATACATAATTTAAATGTGTTAGGATCATTATTTATTAAGTCAAATAATAAAGTGATCTGACTAAATTAAAGTTTTGGCTAAAGACATATGTCATGAAAATAAAATTGTGTAGAGACCATAGAGTAATTTCTAATTTGATGAAGGACCAAATTAGAAATATTAAAACTTAAGTAATTAACCTAATTTTGGTTATTTAAAGGGTCATGGTCCTCTTCTCGGGAGCACACACACGTAACGTAAGTATCTTCTTTTCTTTCTATCCCCATCAAGAGAGAAAATCAAGAGGGAAATACAGGTGCTCTTCAGGTGGAAGAACATACGATCAATATAAGTGCTCTACAAAAACATCATTATTATGGCTAATTCAGGTACGCTTTCGCATTCAGTTTACAACATGTTTATCAGTACGGGATTACGTTTATGTTTGATCTTTAGAATCAAAATCATGATTATAATAATTATTAGTTTTCCAACAATTTCATCATTTGATTTGTTCAAAGGAGGTGTTCATCCCTAATGGGATTTTAGGGAGATGTTCATCCTTAATAGAATTCTAACGAGGTGATTATCTTTTGAATTAATTTGCAAATATTAAATATTTGGTTTTGTTATATAAATAAAATATTCAATTTTTTGGTAGTTTAATATTTTTTGTGAGCAAATTGAGTCAAGAAGTCACCAAAGTAACCTCTCTTAAATTGGGCAGTTCATGAAAAATATTGAATGTTAGTGTTTGTGTATATTCATGCGAGTATTAGTCGGTCCAAAGGAAGATTAATATTTGGCTGAATTGCATACACACTTGTAATGATAAACATGTGATAATTATAAGGATTTACTTTATCGATGATAAATCAATCCAAAGACTGGTTTGTTTGTGGACGTGTTTTATTATCAATGTTTGATTATTACAACAAGATACCTCTAGCAGTTAATATTACTGTCCAAAGACTTGATATTGATGGTGCATTGGGTGTCTTGAGATGAGTTAAATCATTATTTGAATATATATTTATAATTATTTATTTTGTATATAATGTGAGCATAATTAGTTTATTTCTCGTGTTCTAAATTCAGCTATAATTGTTTCTATATCTACCAATTTTAATTTTGTTCCAATCCTCAAAAGTATGTTTCCTACTTTGGTATGTTTTGAAGTCAATTTAGCGCCAGTACCTAGTAACACTTGGTGGTTAGACTCAGGTGCAACTACTAACATCAGTGTTTCTATGAAGGGTTGCCTAAGCTACCAGAAGCCAATTGATTCTAAAAAAAAAAGGATATATGTTGGAGATGACAAATCGGTAGAGGTGAAAGCTATAGGGCATTTTAAATTGTTATTGAGTACTGTTTTTTATTTAGATTTGAAAAACACTTTTGTTGTGCCGTCATTTAGACGAAATTTGGTTTCAGTTTCTTATTTGGAAAAATTAGGTTATTTGTGTTCATTTGGAAATAATAAGTTCAGTTTGTCTTTTAATTCATATATTGTTGGAACTGGTTCACTTTTGGCTAATGATAATCAGAATTTACTTGATATTGTGGTCACCTATAATGAAACCCTTAATACAGAATCACGTGGTACTAAATGTAAAATTGAAAATACTCACTTAGGTGCATTATGGCACAAGTGCTCAGGTCACAATCGAATCGTGACGTTTGAGCTTGTGTTACACTCTTAAAGATATGATAAGGAGTATGATTTGTCATTCCACCTTACCGGAATCACTATAGAGAGAGGCACTAAAAATGACAACTTATATTCTAAACAGAGTATCAACTAAAACAGCTACCAAAACACCTTATGAGTTTTGGATTGGGCGATAGCCTAGTCTGAAGCATTTCCATGTGTGGGGTTGTCCAGCTGAGGCAAGGCCTTATAAGCCAAATGAAAAGAAATTGGACTCTCGAATAGTAAGAAGTTATTTTATTGGTTATGCTGAAAGATCCAGGGGATATAAATTTTATGATCCTACATTAAAGACAATTTTTGAGACGGGAACTGCTACGTTCTTTGAGGATATTGAGTTTGGGGGAAGAATAAAATTAGGAACTTTGTCTTAGAGGAAGAATCGATAACAATTTCATAACAGATTCAAATAGTTACTTTTGATAAAGTAAGTTCGGAACCTCCACAAGACATTTATGATGAACCCCTTACTCAAGATGATTTGGTTGTTCATGAAGAACAAACTCAAGATCCTCAAGAACCTGTGTATCATGAGCCAATAACTTTGAGGAGATCCACTAGAGAAAGAAGAAGTGTTATTTCGGATTATTACATGGTATTTCTTCAGGAACATGAGGAAAACAATGATATAATGGAAGATGACCCAGTTAACTTCCATCAAGCTATGCAAGGTTCTAACTCTCAAAAGAGAATTGAAGCAATGAAGGAGGAGTATGAGTCCATGCAAGACAATAAGGTTTGTGAACTTGTCCCATTACTAGAAGGTATGAAACTCATTGGTTGCAAGTGGATATTCAAGACCAAACGGGATTCTAAAGGTAATGTGGAAAGGTATAAGGTTTGTCTGGTAGCTAAGGGCTATATCCAAAAGGAAGAGATTGACTTTAAAGTCTCTTTCTCTCAAGTTTCATCGAAAGACTCTTTTAGGACAATCATGGTTCTTGTAACACATTATGATTTGGAGCTTCATCAAATGGATGTCAAGACGGCGTTTCTCAATGGAAACATTGATGAGACGATTTATATGGTACAACCAGAAAATTTTGTGTAGGGAGATTCAAAAAATATGGTTTGCAAACTGACAAAATCCATTTATGGACTAAAACAAACATCTCATCAATGGTACTACAAATTTCATCAAGTAATTCTCTCATTTAGCTTCGAGATGAATATTGTTGATGATTGTGTGTATCACAAGTTTTAAGGGGGACAAGTTTAGTCTCAATCAGTGCCCAAAGAAAAATTTGGAAATTGAGAAAATGCAAAATATTCCCTATGCATCAGTTGTAGGGAGTTTGATATATGCCCAAGTATGTACACGTCCAGACATAACATACATAGTTGGGGTTCTAGGCAGATATTTTAGCAATTCAAGAATGGACCATTGGAAAACAACAAAAAGGGTCATAAGATATTTAAAGAGAACAAAAGATTATATGCTCACATACAGGAGGTCAGACCAGTTGGAGATCGCTGGATTTTCTGACTCAGACTTTGCAGGATGTCAAGATAGTTTGAAATTCACTTTAGGTTACATTTTCATGTTGGTAAGTGGTGCGGTTTCTTGGCGCAGTATCAAGCAAACCCTTACAGTCTCATCCACTATAGCAACAAAATTTGTAGCATGTTATGAGGCATCAAATCATGGAATATGGCTGAGAAATTTTGTCACAAGGCTGCAAATTGTGAAAGACATTGAAAGACCACTTAAGTTATATTGTGACAACAAATCAGCTGTATTGTTAAGGAAAGAGTACAGGATGAACAAATTTCCATAGAACACTTAAGGACAAACTCCATGATAGCAGATCCTGTAACTAAAGGACTTCCGCCCAAGGTCTTTCATGAGCATGTTGCTCACATGGGTGGTTTACAATTTGAGGAATTTGTGGTTTAATGGGAGTTAGTCATTTTCATATATTTTATGTTCTATGTTTAATTTCATGTATATATACATTTATTTTTGGACATATTTGGTTATCTATAGATATGTGATTTTTTCGTTCATTTATCATACTTTGTACATTAAGGATATTATATCGATGTCGATAAGTTAAAGTTTGAACCAGTTGAAAATAGATGTGTACAGATCACCTTCACATAATTTTTCATGTTACACATTTCATGATGAATTCATGTCATTTGGTTATGTCAGGATTAGTAATCATTATTGGTTTCAGTTGCGATGATGCAATGAAAAGTTGGTTTGGTTCTATATCCTGATATAATTAATGGACAAGACTTTTGAAGTATGTTAAAGGAATATAATGACAATTTTGAGCTCATAAAGTCTAACACATTTGTAAGGTTGTAAGGACATATATATTTGTGACCAGTGGGAGATTGTTAGCAAAATTTGGGTCATGTATATATATATATGATACATAATTTAAATGTGTTAGGGTTATTATTTATTAAGCCAAATAATAAAGTGATCTGACTAAATTAAAGTTTTGGCTAAAGGCATATGTCATGAAAATAAATTTGTATAAAGACCATATAGTAATTTCTAATTTGATGAGGAGCCAAATTGGAAATACTAAAAATTAAGTAATTAACCTAATTCTGGTTATTTAAAGGGTCATGGTCCCCTTCTAGGAGTACACACACAGAACGTAAGTATCTTCTTTTCTTTCTGTCCCCATCAAGATAGAAAATTAAGAGGGAAATACAGATGCTCTTCAGGTAGAAGACCATAAAATCAATATAGTGCTCTACAAAGACATCACTATTATGGTTAATTCAAGTACGCTTTCGCATTAAGTTTATAACATGTTTATCAGTACGAGATTACATTTATGTTTGATCTTTAAAATCAAAATCAGATTATAATAATTATTAGTTTTTCAACCATTCATATATTATGTTTGCAAGAACATTGCGCAAACTCTGAATTTATTTTGCGTACGTGTTTGTGTATTGAAGACATAGCCATGACTTGTACAATTGCATTGGATGTGTGAAAATCACACAACTTGAATAATATTTCATCTATGGAGAAGCTTGTTGCTATTCAACCTTGAGGGGAAGATATAGTGAAGTTGCAACAACTGCCTTATTAACATATTAATAGCAAAAAAAAAAAATATATATATATATATATATATATATATATATATATATTATCAATTAACATAAATTAATGCATCTTTTAAATTTTATATTCTAATAAACTTGTTTTGACTAGTTAGATCTAACTTGTTTATGTTTAAGAAGAATTGAGTAAGATTAGACAAATTAAATCAAGATAAATTATATCAAATCGAGAGTAATTGAATTAATATAATTTAATAATGATGAAAACTTATTAAATTGATTTGAATCCGATTATGAGAAATTAAGCTCAGATTATAATATATTGACGTAGATTGAGTTAGTTTGACCCATATTAAAATAAATCATATATGTTTTTACATTATTTTAAGTCACTCATTAATTCATTTAATTTTTACAAGTGACAAGATTTCAATATAAACTTTTACAAGTGACGAGATTCCAATTAAAAAAATTGTGATAGTTTAAAAAACAAAAATATTAGGACATGAGTGAAATTATATAATTTTTTTTAAAATCAAAATTTTAAATTATAAATTTTTTTTATTGAATAAAAAACAATTTTTTAAAAGACAACAAAAATTACATTTTATTACATATTAATAAGAAAAAATAAATTAGTTGGATAATAATTTCAAATTTTTGATACATAATTGAAAAGGAAAACTTAGTGTTTGATAAAATTCTTTTACAAATAATATCATGTACAAATTAAAAGAAAATATTAAGATGGGCACAATTTAATCTTAGTGAGACTTATTATTTATATTATTTTTTATTTAAATTATAAGAGAATAATTTATTATATATAGTCAATTAATATTCACAAGTACTTTTCAATCATTTATATTTGTATATAGGGATATAATAAGTCATTATAAACTACAACTCAACCACAATCACAATTCATATTTTATAATTTATAAAAAAATTATACATTTATTAGAAATTCATATCACCATCGTTTAATTTTCTTAGTCTCTCCGATTAATTTGTTTTTTTTTTAATCTTTTTAACCAATTTAATATATACAAAGTTATTTTTTTTCTTTTTCTAAATATTTAACATAAATTTTATTAGTAACTAATATTATTTTATTTATAATGTATATTTATTAAGTTTTATTATGTCATATTTTTTTATCTTATTATTCTTATTTATCATATATCAAATTTTATCTTAATAAAATAATTATATTTTAAAATATTAAAAAGATTTAATAATTTAAATTTTTATTACTTCGAACTAATTAAACAATGATTAATTTATTAAATATTTCTTTATAAAATATATATTTTATATTTTTAAATGACAACTTAAAAATAAATTAACTTATATATGTAATCAAATGTTTGAATACAATATTATTATTATTATTATTATTATTATTATTATTATTATTATTATAATAATGATATAAATATTCTATATATATATAAATAAAAAATAATTAAATATTTCTTTTATATACATATTTTAATATAAATATAATAAATTAAAATATATATTTAATTAATAATAATTATAAAATATTTATTTATATATAAAAAATACATAATAAAATTAATTTATTATAAATATAATTATTTTTTTAAATAATATAGATCAGAAATGGACTGAGACAGAGAACTCAAAACCCAAGCAAAGATAAGAGTTAATTTTTAACCCCGAAAGGAATTAGGAGACGAGAACGAAAATGATTAAAAAGATAGAGAAACGGGATAAGAGAGACAAAATTTGCTCCACCCCAATGACATGCCTACTCATGTCACAATATATGTTCCAAAAAATTTAGTTGCTTAAATAATCAATCATTACTTTAGTAAAAAACTTTATAATATAACTTTTTTTTGTTGCATTTTTATTTAATCGGCCAACAATTATATGACTGAATTATATTGAATATAAAATTATCTAAAAAAATCAACTCATGCCAATATTATCTAATCCAACTTTAAATAATGTAAAGATTTAAAATAAGTATTTTTACTTTGAAAAGGCAACACATGATAACAATTAGTATTTGTTTAAAACAAGTAATCAACATCTTTAAATTTAATAAAATACTCAAAATCTCAATTTAAATTAATCAAGAATTCTCAATTTTCTCATGTCAAATATTATAATAAAGTCTCATTTTAAAGTAAGAAAAAATTGATTTTTTTTCTCTTATCCTTCTAACTTAGTTTCTTTCAAACAAAATTTTAAAATTTATCAAAATTTGTAGGAAATGTAATCTCAAAATTTGTAGGAAATGTAATCTCATTTATAAAATATTATGATTAACAAATAAAACTTATCCTAAACTATCAGAAATTCATCTTTGCTCCCATGCATAGGTTAGGGAATCGCATACATACAAACCATCATTATTCACTGAAAAAGGAAAAGGAAAATAAAAATATCAGAACAATATTTTATCAAAAAACTTTAGTTTTTGTTAGGAGTGATAACGTAAATTTAAATTTAGGAAAAAAAGAGAGAGAGAAAAAAGAGAGTAAAAGAATTATAAGTTGTATAAAAATGATGATTGCACATAAATAAATATTAAAAATTTTAACATTTTTTATTTATAATATATTATTTATTTAATTTAACCCGCTCAACTGTTACACTTACAATAAACTAAGCCTTCCAACTCAAGTAATTTTTTTGGAAAGAAAATGTAAAATTACAAGAATAGTATTGTAATAAATTAATAACTTTTTTTACGATTAACAAAATATTATTTTTTTCTTAATTTTGTCTACCAAAATCTTAAATGTCACACGTTAAAAAACATAAAATTTATAATTAATTTATAAATTTTAAAAATATTATATATTATTTTGTCTCATACTCATTGTAGTTTTAGTCGTTGAGAAAAAAATTAAACTGATTAATGTATTTAGTTTTCAATAAAATACCTTTTTCGGTAATTTGTTCATAAATTAATTACTCTATGTTTTAATAAAAAAACAACAGACTACAATGTTATTTAAAACATATTTAAAATGAATTAATTCCTCGAATGTAAATTAAGTTTATTTAATGCTACTTAATTTCATTAAATAAATAGTGTTATGGATCATATTTATTGAAATGATGCTCATATTTAAACATAATGCTATTAAAACAAGAATTAATAAGGTTGAATTAATTAGAATTTATATCAAACATAATTAATATATACAGAAGTAGTTTATTTATTGTTGTAAAATGGTAAAGTGCGTTTATTATAGAATAAAGGTATTAAATAGAACACGGAAAAGTAATAAATGTTATTACATGTAATATTGTACATTCTCGAACAAACCCTTCTTATTTGGTTAGAGAATATTTTTGGGAAAATAATTGCGCACCAAAAAAACCCCATTTTCCCTCCAACTCTTTCAACATTTTCCCCTCCCCTCCCTCGCATTTTGAACTATTTTCTTCCACATTCACTCCTACTTTCAGGCGCTCCCTCTTTTTCTTTATCTCTTTGATTCGCACTTCGATTCATTTTAGGGTTTTTCATTTCCGTTATCACAATCTCACTTCTTTTTTCGCTACGGAACCAACAGCTAAGGGTTCTGTTCCTCCAATTTCCACAACGAAGCATTGTTATGTTCAGATACTTCTTCCGTTTTTATTCGTGTTTACTAATTCCAAACCAGGTAGGTACCTTTGTCTTAAATCTTAATTGTCTAATGCAGAATTTGCATGCTTCGTGCGTGCATGCATGATTCGTATATCTATATGTTCTGCTTAAGAATTGCATGATGTACTGGTAGTTAGGTTTATTTTGTGTTGATAATATTATGTTGCTTGTGGATTGGGAATAGGTATAATTACAGAAATTGAGCTTTGTACAATTTAGTGTGGTTAGGTTTTGATTTGAATTCCTTCATGGAGTGCAACAAAGACGAGGCTGGGAGGGCTAGGCAAAAATGGCCGAAGCTAGAATGCAAAGAGGTGAATTTATGGAAGCGCTCAGGTTTGCTGCCAAGGCTAAAAAACTTTATGCTGATGTTGAAAATATTACTCAGATTCTTGCCGTCTGTGAGGTTCACAATGCTGCGCATAAAAAAACATGGACTGGTATGCGATACTTCAGATTGAAAAGTTGGCTGATGAAGCAGTCATAAAGAAACAGTACAGGAGGCTTGCATTGCTACTTCATCCTGATAATAACAAGTTTGCTGGCGCAGAAGCTGCTTTCAAGTTGATTGGGCAAGCCAATGGAGTGCTGAGTGACCGAGCAAAACGTTCTTCGTTTGACAAGAAGTTTGGAATCTCTGCGAGAGGTGCTGCGCCGAAGGCAACTGCAAAAAAACATCAGAAGAGTTCTGAAACACACCATAATTCAGATGGAAATGTGTTTACTGCAAAATATGATGAAAATGCAACAAATTATCAGAATAAATCTTTTTCGAACTCCGATTGTTTCAACAACCAAGTTGGACTGATGACATTCTGGACATCTTGCGAACATTGTAATTCGAAGTACCAGTACTGCGTACAATATGTGAATGCAAACTTATTGTGCCAACAGTGTTTGAAGCCATTTAAAGCTCATATTGTTAGTTTTGGACAAGTGGGTGTCTCACCGTCAATGTTTACTTCAGAAAACGTACTGCCATGTTTGCGCGGTCAAATACTGCTATGAAAAAATGTGCTGCTGGAGTTGATGCTCATTGTGAAGCTGAAAAGAGTAAAAATGGCTGTGTTCCTGTATTCAAAGGCATGGAGTCACAATCATATAAAAATGTTGGAAGTAAGAGAGTAAGGCAGTCAGCACCAGATTCAGGAGAAATCTTCAAAGCTAGAACTGGTGATGAGATGAGAGATGCCAATGACCGAGAAAACGTTCTTGATCCTTCAAGAGTTAATGCTAGGAGATCTACAAGGAAAAAACATGTTTCATATGTGGAAACCTTTGAAGGTGACGATCTCAAAATTCCTTCCAAAACTCCACGACCAAATGAACCGCTTGATGCCGATGACGTTGAGAATAAGAATGTTCCCGCAAGTAATGGATCGTCCAATAGCGACAATCAAGCTACTTCAGCTGGCTGATCAGAACAGAGAGAAGGTATCCAAGTCAAAAGAGGAAAACTGCTCTCCAGTGAATTCAAATGTTCCTTCTGCTTCAAATATATTGCCTTGCTTTGACGCAGATTTCAATGATTTTGAAAAGGATAAGGAGGAGGATTGTTTTGCTGTTAAGCAAATGTGGGCAGTGTATGATAACTTCGATTTGATGCCAAGATTTTATGCTATTGTCAAGAAAGTGATTTCCCCTTTCGAGTTGCAGATTTCTTGGTTGGAACCTGATCCAGACGACAAAGACGAGGTTGATTGGCATCATGCACATTTTCCTATTTCCTGCGGTAGGTTCAGACTCGGTCGTTCTCAGAAAATTTCATGTCGTACTACTTTCTCTCATCACGTGCAGTGCGTCAAAGAAACTGGCAAACGTTCTTACCTGGTATTCCCTAATAAAGGAGAAACTTGGGCAATTTTTAGAGTTTGGGATATCAAATGGAGTTCTAATCCAAAAAAACGTTCTGAGTATGACTATGAATGTGTGGAAATCCTTTCAGATTTTTCTAAAGATGTTGGCATCGCAGTTGCATATCTGCGCAAAGTGAAAGGATTTCTTAGCCTCTTACAGAAAACTGGGAAGAATGGAATGGACATATTTTATGTCGGGCCTAATGAGCTATATAGGTTCTCGCATCAAATTCCTTCGTAGAAGATGACTGGTGATGAAAGGAAGGGTGTTCCAAGAGAATCTTTTGAATTTGATCCTGCTGCCCTGCCTACTAATTTCTTTGAAGTTGCTTGAAAAGGTTACTCTATCAGTGTAAGTTGGTTAAGGGGACAATAAAAGAACGGTTAGTGGTCAAGAAACATAAAATGGTGCCGCTGCATGTTAGGCTAAGGAGGGGTTGTTAGGCTAAGGAGGGGTTGAAAACACCGGAGGCATGAAGAAATTGAGGGACAGCTGATTTCCCCATTTTTGTGTTTGGTTTAATCTAGAAATGTTTTTCCCTGTATATCTCCTTCGTCAAACCTTTTTCTGATTTTGTCTGGGATGGCAGTTTCTTGATTTACCTTGTTAGCATGGGTAACCACCTCAGTACCCATGTTCATATCTGTCCCCCGGGTATCCTTGGAATGAAAATCAACTTTTAGATATATTATTGACTAAAAGGCTTTTATTTGATGGTGGTTCTTATAATTATAACTATATCCGTCCAAACTAAATATTCATGCTTGCCTCCAAAATGTCCTTTTTCTTTCAGTTTTTTCTTTTAAAACTTGAACATTTTGTTGAATAAATTAGATAACCAAATAATAACGAATCAACAGTCAGCTTTCAGTTTCAGTTCGCACCTGATTGTAAATGACATTATGTCATGGAAATTGTGTTTGAATAAAACTCAGAGATAGCAATATAGTAAGATAAAGTTTAAAATCAATTTATAAGAATGAACTTGATATAAATCAATTTATAACAATTGGGCTGTTAAAGTAACAATCTTCTCAAACAGAAGAAGAAGAAAGTCACATGTCTAAAGTGCCATATGCATCTGCAGTAGGAAGCTTGATGTATGCTATGGTTTGCACCAGACCAGACATAGCACATGCAGTAGGAAGCTTGATAACATCCGTGACTTGATCTTAAGCGAAGATGTTCGCAGGAAAAATTCAGTAGAATCTTTCAGTTCTAATTCAGGTTCAGCATTGAGTGCTGAAACTAGAGGAAGAAGTCGCCAGAAAGGTCGTAATCAAGGCCGAGGCAGATCAAAATCCAGAGGGAGATCACAAGCAAAAGTCCGGAATGATATCACTTGTTGGAATTGTCGGAAAAAGGGCCACTTTTCAAATCGAGTGTAGGGCTCCAAAGAAGGACAACAACAACAACAAGAAGCAAGATGATGATCAATCGAGCAAATGCAAGCAACTGATGAAGTTGAAGATGCACTCGTTATGTAGTTTAGATAATTCTATTGACTCATGGATTATGGACTCGAGTGCGTCATTTCATACTACACCTTCCTTAGAACTATTATCTAACTATGTTTCGGAAAGTTTGGGAAGGTCTACCTTGCGAGATGGAAAATCTCTTGATATCATAGGAAGAGGTGATATTAACATCGGAACCTCTAATGGAAACGTGTGGACTTTGAATAATGTCGGACATATTCCAACCTTAAAGAGAAACTTAATATCTATAGGGCAGTTGGATGATGAGGGACATTACACCACTTTTGGAGATGGACATTGGAAGGTAATGAAAGGTAATCTTGTTGTTGCTCGTGGAAAGAAGCAAGGATCTCTCACATGATTGCGAGATGAGGATATGATATCGATTGCAGAAGTTGGCAACAATTCCTCCTTATGGCATCGGAGGCTTGGGCATATGAGTGAGAAAGGAATGAAGCTCATGATATCAAAAGGTAAAATACCTAACGTGAAGCATGTTGACGTTGGACCTTGCGAACATTGTATCTTTGGAAAGCGAGAAAAAGGTTAGCTTCTCCAAAACAAGTAAGTCGTCTAAAGTTGAAAGACTAGAACTAGTGCATACGAGATGTTTGGGGGCCGGCTTCAGTGAAATCCCTTGGAGGTTCACAATATTATGTAACCTTCATTGATGACTCTACAAGAAAGGTATGAGTTTATTTTCTTAAAAATAAATCGATGTGTTTTCTGTGTTTAAAAGGTGGAAAAAGGAGGTTGAGACTCAAACAGGTTTAAAGGTCAAATGTTTGAAGTCTGATAATGGTGGAGAATATGACAGTAGTCAATTCAAGGAGTTTTGTTCGGAGAATGGGATCGGAATGATCAAGACAGGTTCAGGAACACCGGAACAAAACGGTGTGGCGAAAGAATGAACAGAACCTTGAATGAGAGAGCAAGATGTATGAGAATCCAGTCAGGATTACCCAAGGTATTTTGGGCGGATGCAATAAGCACAAGCGACCTATCTCATAAACAGAGGACCATCAGTTCCTTTAGACTATAAGTTACCCGAAGAAGTATGGTCTCGGAAAAGAGGTAAATCTTTCACATCCGAAAGTTTTTGGTTGTGCTTCATATGTTATGTTAGACTCTAATAGTAGAGATAAATTGGACCCTAAGGCAAAACGTTGTTATTTCATTGGTTATGGATCTGACATGTTTGGCTACGGGTTTTGGAATGACCAAAACAAGAAAATTATCGAAGTAGAAATGTTACTTTTAATGAAAACATGTTCTATAGAGACAGGATTGCGGAATCTGCAAATGTAAATAAACGAGCTAGAGCAAGTATCATTAGAAGAAATTTCAGAAAGTGATGTAGTCAACCGAAGGCGGAATATACAAGTAGAGCCTATGTCGAGCCTCGAGACGAACTCGAACAAATAGTAGAGTCAGCAACTCCTGAAATCTTGGTTAGAAGATCTAGCAGAACAATTGTAGCACCACAAAGGTATTCCCCTTCATTGCATTATTTGTTGTTGATCGATGTCGGTGAGCCGGAGCATTTTGTCGAGGCTATGCAGGGAGATGAATCTATTAAGTGGGAGCTAGCAATGGAAGATGAGATAAAGTCCCTTCAGAAGAATAAAACATGGCCTTTAACCAAGCTACCAGAAGGAAAGAAAGTTTTGCAAAACAGGTGGGTCTATAGGTTGAAAGAAGAACCAGATGGCGACAAAAGATATAAGGCTAGACTCGTAGTGAAAGGGTTCCAACAAAGACAAGGAATTGACTTCACGGAAATTTTCTCTCCTGTTGTCAAGATGACTACCATCGAGTTATCTTGAGTATAGTAGTTGCGAGAAAATCTTCATTTGGAGCAGTTAGATGTCAAAACTGCATTCTTACATGGGGATCTTGAAGAGGAAATTTTTATGACACAGCCAAAAGGTTTTGAAGTACAAGGCGGAGAAAATCTTGTATGCAAGCTTCATAAAAGTTTGTACGGATTAAAACAAGCGCCGAGACAATGGTACAAGAAGTTTAATGAGTTTATGAGAAACTCGGGATTTCGCAGATGTGAAGAAGATCACTGTTGTTATGTGAAGAAATATGTTGATAGCTATATCATTCTTGCCTTATATGTTGACGACATGTTGATTGTTGGAGCTAATATGGCGGAAATTGACAAGTTGAAGAAACAATTGTCGAGAGAGCTTTGAAATGAAGGATCTTGGTCCAGCCAAGCAAATTCTTGGTATGAGAATCTCCAGAGATAGAGATAAAGGTATTTTGAACTTATCTCAAGAAAAATATATAGAAAAATTGCTTAGCAGATTCAATGTTGGGAATGCTAAAACCAGGAATACACCTTTGGGAACTCACTTAAAGTTTTCAAAGAGGCAATCTTCTCAAACAGAAGAAGAAGAAAGTCACATGTCTAAAGTGCCATATGCATCTGCAGGTAGGAAGCTTGATGTATGCTATGGTTTGCACCGGACCGGACATAGCACATGCGAGTAGGAGTTGTGAGCAGATTTCTATCAAATCCCGGAAAGGAGCATTGGGAAGGAGTGAAGTGGATATTCGGATATTTGAAAGGCACTTCAAAGATGCATTTGTCTTTCAAGAGAAGTAATCTCATTTTACAGGGGTTTTCTGATGCGAGACTTGGGAGGTGATCTTGACGGTAGAAAGAGCACAACGAGGTTATATTTTTACATTGGGTGGTACAGCTATCGGTTGGAAGTCTAAACTTCAAGGAAGGGTCTCTCTCTCAACCACTGAAGCAGAGTATGTAGCTATCTCGAAGCGGCGAAGGAGATGATATGGTTGAAGAACCTTCTAAAAGAATTAGGAAGAGAACAAGATGGTTCTCCGTTGTTTAGTGACAGTCAAAGTGCTATTTGTCTTGCTAAAAATCCAATCCTTCATTCCGGATGTAAGCACATTGAATTGAATTATCATTTTATCGAAACCTGATAAATGATGGAGACTTGAGTTTGTTGAAGATTCCAGTGCGGAGAATCCCGCTGATATGTTGACCAAGATCGTTACAACAACTAAGTTGAGGCTTTGCATTGCCTCAACTGGCCTTCGAGCAAATTGATGATGAAGGCACTACACTAGGTGGTAACGTAAATCAAACTCCAAGTGGGAGAATTGTTAGTATTATGGTGCTTGATTTAGTCCCACATCGATTAGGATTGTGAGATGAGGTTCTCTATTTTGTTATATAAGCAACCCTATGTAAAGTTTGAGATACACACAGAAATAAAAATACTTTCTAGTGTAGTCGTGGACGTAGGCATACATATTTTAGCCGAACCACGTTAAAATTCTTGTGTCGTTTATTTTTCTCTCCTTTATTCTTTCCTTTATTATTGTCTTGTTCCTAACAATTGGTATCAGAGCTATGTCGCAACTCTTTTTACTTTAACAGCCCAAGCGCCACGATTCAATTGTGACTCGGCCCACCTGACCTTCGTCACAGGACAATTGATGCTACCTGCAACAATCTCCCCCTCAGCAATTGTCCTACAAGGTATCCCACTCTTGGATTGTCTTTTGGCCTAGTGGTAAGCGCTCGATCCTAACAATTGGTATCATAGATGATTAATAGACACTTCCAATCAATTAAAAGTATCATAGATGATTAAGAGATACTTATAAATTAGGTAAAAGTGTACTAGTACAAAAGGGACGAAGGAGATGGATTGAAAATGTAAGCTGAAATATCATAAGAAAGTGGAAAGAAGGAAAATCTATTGTCGTAATATTTTTAAGATTTTGAATTGGAATAATTATTAGTTATTTTTTATTAAAGATTTGACTTTGAAAAGCATAAAGAAAGAACGTTAATACATTAAGAGAAAATATGAAGAACAAGACACTCTACTGATATTGTTAACGGATATATAAAAAGTTTGTGATATAAGACTATCATTTAATAATTACAAACTAAAGTTGATGTGTGTGAAATCCTTGCTGGTCATAAAACATCTACGGAATTAATCTACTGTCGTAGCAAATAAATGGAGGTCAATTGTAATCATTGAAACCTAGAGGCGGACTACAATGTGACAGTGACTATAGCAAATAAAAAATAACATTCAACTTACATAAAAATATGATTTCACTCTGTTCTCTCTTCAACTAAAAACAATTATACAAAAATGTTTAAATAAATACTTATCAAATAAGAAATCCTCTTAACAAAGCATTGGTTAGTGATTATAAGATTAAAAGGGTGTGATCCAAGTAGGTAAATCTTCAAAGATCCTCTAAATAATGTCAATGATGTCTATGTCGATCTTTCTCCCTTGACGAGTAAGAGGAACCATGGTAATCCCAATCTGTAAAATTGAAATATGAAATATGTTAGATGAAATGCTAAAAGGAAGACGTATGCCAAACCCCATTAACACAGATTTATACCATGTGATGAATGGCGTTTTGACTTCTCTAAATGTCCTGCATCCAGTACAAAAACATAATTTAAACTCGAACACAAAAAAAAGAAAACGAAACACATCTACACACAAAAATAAGAAATCTAGAGACCTAAAAACATAATTTAAACTCGAACACACCAAAAAGAAAACGAAACACATCTACACACAAAAATAAGAAATCTAAAGACCTGAATCCTTTGCTCTCTCTCTAGAACGGTGACCACGATCCTTGAGCTTGTCCCTATCAGCTTCCTCTCGTTCACGTTCTTTGTCAGAATCCCTTCCTCGATCTCTATCTCTGGATTTTGTTCTATCCCTGTCCCTATCTCGGTCCCTATCCCTCTCCCTGCGAGTCTCGCCAATGACCTCTGTTTTACGGTCAGACTTCGACATATTCGACTTCAGTATGTGTTCCTCTCTTGCATCTCCTTTTGTAGCCATGCCTTTCGATTCATCATCAGACCTTTTGGAATCTTTCAGCTTATCAATGGCTACCTTCACCATAGCACCCTTGCTACCAATTGATTCAATATTAACATCTCCTGGAGCACCCTTTGACATGGCAGTTTCAGTATCAACTGCCGGACTATGTTGCGGAATATCCTACAAATTGGCAGTGATTTAAAATGTGATATGATCAAACCCTTAGAATCATTGTCAATAGTACAGGTTCAGACATTTGTCTAAACATATAAGGATGCTGATGTAGAGATATTACACCACTTTGGCAAATGTAAATAGCGGTAAAGTGGGTGTCACCTTTGGTGTTGATTGAGACTTTGATTCCGATGATTTGTTGGAGAATGTAAAGTCCCCGTCCTTGCAGACTGGTATATATTGTGCCTTTGGAAGGCTATAAAGATGAGCCAGAACCGTGCAGACTTCATCAATCCCAGACTTCTCCCCATCAAATGCCTTCCACCATGGTGGATTCTCTGGAAGGGGTACTTGGAACCTGCGAGCAGCAGCATAAACAACTCCACAAGCCACCACCTCACTCTTAAATCGAACACACAATGTAGTTCTCAAACTGCATGAGAAAAGAGCCAGAGAAATGGAAAGCATGATATAGCAAACATAATTGTTCTTGTAAAAGATGGTGTCTAAAGTCATCACCAAAAATATTAGTGCATTGCAGTCAAGCAAGTGATAATAAAGAAACATTTTACTTCATTACAAATTACGCTTGGATGTTGATCAAATGCTGGCATACAAGATTATATGAAGTATCAAGTTTTTGCTAATAGCTACGATATTGACAGTTCTAATAGCTTAAATAAGGTATTATACCCTTCAAAAGGCCTCATCATTTGATAACAGATGCAAGCTAAATAGGTTCAATAGTTTAACAAGAATCTCAATTTTAAACAGAATTAAAGACACACCAGATATTCATCTACCTACAATGTAGTACTGTACAATATTCTTAAAAAATAAATTCATTTTTATAACTACTGTTTTCACTTTACCAAGGTAAAAGTAAACCCTTTAAACTGTACGTTGCATCAAAGTAGAACATCCAAACTGTACCTTGATAAAACACCCAAACTGGAATCGTAGCAAAATACTATAGAAGGATACCTTCCAAAGTTTAATGAAACAGAAAATACAGTATAATTCACGAGTCTTGTGGAAGGGAGGGAATAAATCGCAGTTAGTATGGACAAGCACAAAAAAACACAAGTAGCATCATAAAAATAATATCTGCAATTATGTACCTGTCATTAGCCAAATTCCAAGCTTCTTGCCTCAATTCTGGAGGTGTTTCGAGGGTAGCAAGGTAATTTGATATAAACTTATGAGGATGTTCAACATGACAAATGAATCCCATTTCTTTCAAAATATGTCTTTCTGTTCTGCTCAATTCCATTTTCAAATCAACATATTTCTGTTCATGAACAAAAAGAGAGAGAAAACATTCAAATACGAAATAACTAGAATTTATTGAAATAAGATTCATAGAATGTGTATGGATCCACTCGAAGTATGTGTTTGATGCTCAAATCACATCAAATGAACACAAAAAACGTGTAAGCTACTTGTAGTTACTTCCAATTTTGCGAAAGTTCAAGCTTGAGGATTAGAACAAATAATATGTCTATGTACTATAGGCTAAGAAAAGTGAGAATTAGAAGCTTCTGACCTTGGAATACAAGTCTAAATGCTCCATTGGAAAGTTCTCCCTCCTGCACTCCATCCTGTGAAAAACAATAATTACTTGTCTGGCTTTCCTAGGGTTTTCCTCCAGTTTTGAAGCCAGCCATACACAGCTTGCAGCAACTTTCTGCAAAGAGACACTATGAGCTTAGTAATTCATGTAGCACAAAAAGAGAAAGCAAAGAGAAGAAACTATATCACAAAATAATAATGACCTTGACATTGAACCGTGCAAATGACTTCTTGCAATAGAAACGATGAAATAGAACCTGTCCTGTAGCCATGACTGCTTGTGGCCTGTCTAACAATTAAGGTAACAATTTGGACCAAACATGAAAGTTAAAATGAAATGAACACAATCAAAAGGATACAATCTGAGCAAAATTCCACTTTCTTGGACAAGATCGCAGCCATAGATTCTAAGGGTGGTCTCAGTGGCTTCATCTATGCCATCTTTTCTAGAAGGTGAGTTTGTTAGTTGCTCTTCTGAGAGGTAGAATGTGTCGATTGCTGTGTAGATCATCCTTTTTTCTTTACCCTGACATAAGAAAGGGCACAGTTTTGCCAATAATATTTCAAAACTATGATGCCAAAAATTAAAAGTGAATCAAGGGGTTAACGGGATAGAAGCATTACACTATTACAGTGATTGTTTTTAAATTAGTCTAGCCATTAAACAAGTTTTCAGTTTGCTAAGTGTCGCAACCAACGACGGACCAAAATTTTTAAGATATTCCGGAAAATTATGGAAAAACCATAAAGATAAGACAAGGTCTACGAAAACCGGATTCAAGTTAGAGCATAAGGTATTAGCACCGTCCGACATCCGTTCTAAGACAATTACTACCTCCGGCGTCCGTTCTAAGACAATTACTACCTCCGGCGTCCGTTCTAAGACAATTACTACCTCCAACGTCCGTTCTAAGACAATTACTACCTCCAACGTCCGTTCTAAGACAATTACTACCTACAACGTCCGTTCTAAGACAATTACTACCGTTCTAAGACAATTGCTACCTACAATGTCCGTTCTAAGACAATTGCTACCTACAATGTCCGTTCTAAGACAATTACTACCTACAATGTCCGTTCTAAGACAATTACTACCTACAATGTCCGTTCTAAGACAATTACTACCTACAACGTACGTACTAAGATAGCAAAATTGAATTTCATTTAAAGAATATTTATTTCCCCTCGTTCAATAAGGGAAATCCAAGACTCAATAACATATAACCCATCAGACAACCCCACTCGACCAGGACTGATTTCAACCCACCGAACCAGGCGAAGCAAAAGCAATAGATTCAAGCTAACAAAATATACCCAAACAAAAGTAATAAATCAGTTATACACAATCTAACAAAATCCAAGCAGCCACCATATAACCCACATCAGAACAACACAAACTTAAACCAGGCAGCGAACAAATCCAAAATTTGGTTTAAATGTAAACAAAATGAATTGGCCACAGACGAAGCAAAACAATTTTATATCCAGGCAGAGGCGTGTAACCACAACGCGACCAAACCCCAGCACAAATAAAAGCCCGAAAAGTAATCAAACCCACTCGCCTTGGACAAAATCGCGGATGGGGCTTTAGGCGAATCAGATTGGGGTGCGGCTGGCAGCTGGCTCGCAAGTGACAACTTAGGGCGCGATGACGGTGGCCGCGATGAGGTAGTAAGGTCGCCGGAAAGGAGTATAGCGAGGTGGAGAGACCCGTGGCCAAGGTCGAAGCGGTGGTGAAATGGGTTGCTCACGGTGAGGGGAAGGTGGTGTTGCAACGTTTGGCTGGGGTGGCCACGGTGGTGGCCAAAGGAGGCGGTGATGGACCGCGGGTGAGTGAGCGTTTGCAAAGAGGCTAGGGCTGCCGGGGGGAGTTGGATGCAGGGGAAGCGAATGTTAGTGGTGAATGAGGAGGGTGAAGTGGAAGTTTGGCGAAACGGTGGCCGTTTGGTTGGAGGTGATGAGAGGGGCCGTAAGTGGGGGAAAAGGTGTTGCCTTGGTGGAGGGAGAGTGAGGGCGGTGGTTGGGTAGTGAGGTGTGGAAATGGGTGGATTAAGGCGGCAACGGAGGGGAAGGAGAAGGGATTTGGAGGCCGTGAGAGTCGATGGTGAGTACGAGGGGAAGCGGCGGGTGCCGTTAGTGGGACGAGAGTGAATGATTGGATTGAGGTATTATGGCTGTTTGGTTGGAGTGATTTGAGAGAGTGGAGATGCCAGTAGAAAATGAGGAATTAAAAAAAAAAAAAAAAAAAAAAAAAGAAGAGAAGGGGTGAAATTAAAATTGTTTGGATGAATGAAAAATGAAAAAAAAGTTTATGAAAAATTGTGAGTGATTTGATTGATATGAAATATAAAAATTATAATTTTAATTGATTATTTAAGAAAATTATTATTTTACCCTTGTATATAAAATAAGGTTAAAAATATTATAAATATAATTTTTTAATTAATTATCCATATTTTAACATTGATTATATATTTAAACGAAAAAAAAATTTAAAAATGTTTGTAAGTGAAAACAAATTTAAAAAATTAAATTTTTTTAAAATAGTTATTAAAAATTATATAAATAAACAATTATAAAATTATTTACATTTTATTTCCATAAAAAAAAATTTTGACATATTAAATAAATTATTTGACTAATAATTAAATAATTATAAAATATAAAATAATAATTAATATTGACTAATAATAACAAATAATTATGAAAACTAATAATATATTTGTAAATTATTATTTTAAATAAATATAAAATATAGTGAAAATAGAATAATAACTAAATGAAAAATTCATGTAAACTTAATAATAAAAATATTTTATTATTTAGTTAAAAATTATATTAATATATATATTTTTCATATTTTTATATTTTCAACATAAAATAAAAATATATATATATATATATATATATATAGAATTACATGTCATAAATTTTAATTATCAAAAAATATTAATTAATACGAGATATTAGATATTTGACAAACATTATTAAAATTATAAACCTATGCACACTAATGCTCTTCAAACAAATAATTATAATGTTATCGATCCTTTGCAGTCAAGTCCTCGAGTTCAGAAGTTCCCTCGTCAGAATGTACTTCAACAACAGTATCTCGTCGAAAGGTTTGCCGAGTAGGTCTGCCAAATTCATTGTGATCGAAGAGCTCCTGAATGAATCTTAAAGTATTTTGAGATCTTTATAGCAGATCATTCAATCACTTCCACCCAAGAACATGAACAACTGGGAGAGACGAAGATGTGAGGGCAAGCCAAAAAGTCGTCTAACATGTGATTCGTGAGAACACAAATGATTATAACACTGAAGCATAAGTTGCTCGTCATTTAGGTTCATGCCGACTAACATGTCCCATATATCTGACTCGAAATATTGAAATGTTGATGATCGTCTCATGACATTAACTTGCTCATTAATTAAATCATTTATGCATTCAATGACGACCACCTGTCTTTCAGCTATGTCAGATAATCATTGGGTCAATGTATTACCTTGCCCAAGGTAATCTGTAAATGTGTTCAGCCTCATTGTTAGTTTGTCAAATTGACCTTCCATCACATCAACCATAGGCGTTTTTCTTTTTGTGCCCCGAGATGAAAAGGTTCCACCTGAACCAGTAGACGGAACAGATGGCATTGACTGAGCACCCTCAGCAGGACTGTCGGAACCCATGCGTGGAGGTGATCGATAAGTTGTATCAAATCCTGCATCAAAGCCAAAGTGAAATGGCTGCTCCTCTGGTGTGGGGTCCACATCAACATTCAAGTCGACTGTTGCCCTTGGAGAACTGATATTCATTCGGGACTGCCGCAAAGTTCTTGTCATATGTCTAGTGGCTCGATCAGCACCCCACAATTCTTCCATCAAATCATAATACCTTATAGTTGACAGTTTCCATTTAGCTGCAGAAGGCTTCGCCTACAAATTAATGAGAATGGTTAACACTCGTAATTGTTATGTTTTGCTATATCAACAAATGATAATTCATATAATAGTACCTTGATTAGGTCATCCCATACTTCTTGCTCAGCCATAAACCGTTTTGTGATATCATCCCAAGCGAATCCACTAAGTCCATGAAACAAATCGTGGACCTCCCGCCATCTATCCTTAAGACTTTTTTGTCGATTTTTAACATTATTTTTAGTTATACCAATTAATCCAGACTGTCATAGGGATTCAACTATATTATTATATGCTTGGGTTGTCCAACTACCATCAACCCGATTACTCAACCTTGCCTCATGAAGCATAACAGTCAACAACCGAAAGTCCATGTCATCAGTCCATTTTGTAAACTCGCGCACTACAGTTGATGAATTCGGTGCAATATCATTTCCTCTATTCATTTTAAACCTATTGGAAAGATAATATATGTAATTACGATACAAGCATATAATTATTATAAATAGATAATCGTAATGTAATCGTATTTCAACAATAACAATAGTACATCTCATTAAATATATTGTTACATACAAAATCTAATGATTTTGATAATATATCCACATTTGATTTGCTATAGTATCTCTTAAGTTTGACCTTTCCCTATAATCCTCTTCCCGAACTTGAGTCGACATATTATCCACATCTTGTTCTATCAACTCTCGATCCACTTCAGCTAACAGTGATTCATCGTTGTCTATCCCTCGAAGAAAATTGTGTAGAATGCAACATGCTAGGACTATATTCGTCATTGTATCAAATGAATAATGAGGCTCTGTTCCACTAGCTATTATAGGAAATCTTTTCTTCAAAACTCCAAATGTTCTTTCAATTACATTTCTAAGAGACGAATGTCGATGGTTAAACAATTCTCGGGGGTTTTGTAGAGCTCGTCGAGAATACTCTTTAAGGTGATATCTAATGCCTCGATAAGGGGTCATTATGTTTGCTTTTAACATAAATCCAGCATCCCCAAAGTAATATTTACCTATTTAAAATCATTGAAGTTATACTAATTAGAATATTTAAACTAGTTATATACACAAAATCCCCACGTTATAAATAATAAACCTTGTGGTATGATAAGACGATCCTCTCTCGTAAGAACATCCTTTAATATTCTTGAATCAGATGTTGTTCCTTCCCACCCTGTTAGAACATATGTGAATTTCATGTCGAAATCACAAGTTGCAAATACGTTTTGTGTTGGCCAATCTTTTCTTCCACGAAAATGAGGGGCATCGGATCTTGCGACTTTAACTCGAACATGAGTTCCATCTATTGCCCCTAAACAATCCTAATTGGTAAAAATATTTATTGTCATTAAAGTTTAGACAATCTATGTGTATGTTATATAGACACAAAGTTGGTAAGTAGATTACCATAAAGTATGGGTAAAATCGGTTGTTGTTTAATATATACGGACACACATCCCTTCCTGATGGTTGAACAATTAATTGTTCGTCCAACATTATTATCGCATTCAACACGTTATGAAAGTGTCGACTAACTGGTTTCACCTGATCGATTGAAAAAAATAAAACAGTTCGATTTATATATATATATATATATATATATATATATATATATATATATATATATATATATATGCTAAAATATAATTTATATTAATTACTATAATATAAAATATATATTCCAAAATATAACTTATTTCATTTATATATATATATATATATTATAGAAATTAAAATAAATTATATTTTAGAATATATATATATATATATATATATTAAATATAAATTATTTTCAAGTTGATAATTATTATTCTAATTTATGCAAAATATATATATATATATATATATATATATATATAATTAATTTAAAGTTTTTAATTTAAGTAATATATCTATATATAATTATAATTTATATAATATATATAATTTATTTAACATTAATTTTATAGTTATAATTTTTTTAAAGTTATAATTATAAATATGATTTTTTTAATTATATAATTATAATTTTTATAATATATAATTGATAAATAATTTTTTTTTAATTTTAATTTATTATAAATTTTTATCTATAATTTTTTAATATATATTTGAGAAATTAATCAATTATAATCTATCATTTGAAAAACTAATAAATTATAATCAATTATTTAAAAAACTAATCGATTATAATTAATTATTTGAAAAAATTATCGAATATAATCAATTATTTAAAAATAATCGATTATAATCAATTATTTGAAAATATAATCGATTAAAAATAGATTTTAGATAGCGGTTAACGTGGAACCGCTATTATATGTTACTTTTAAGAGCGGTTAAAGTGGAACCGCTATCATATATGTGTCACTTGTAAGAGCGGTTAACATTTTAACCGCTCTTAAAAGTGAACATATAATAGTGGTTCCACGTTAACCGCTATCTAATATATATTTTTAATAGCGGTTAGTTCTAGAATCGCTATCTAAAATCTCGATTATTTGAAAAAGTAATCGATTATTTGAAAAAGTAATCGATTATTTCTGCACCTGACCTTGGAGCAGAAAAACATGCATGAATAACACAAGAGAAGGAGGTAAGTCATGAACAGAAGTCACGGGCTGTACATGCAGAGGTCACGGACTGTACATCCAACTTCACGTGTTCACAGCTGATAGAACTTGAACCAAAGCCCGTAGTTATAAGACCTATTCTTTCTTCTCTAGTTACAGCTGATAGGGAAAGTTATTGTATTATATAAAGCAAAGCTAGTCTCATAAGACTAGCTAAAAGACTCTATTCCATATGTCAAAGCTTGGAGTGAGACTTCGGTTCGGAAACATTCTTTACTTCACAAGAGTCTCCCACCAATCAGAGAAGTGGCTTGACACAGTAAAAGAAAAGAGGATAGTTTGATCCCAGATTGAACCGAAGCCTACTTCCTTTTTCTTGGATCTTTCTCTTTCTTTCGGGAAAGGGAACAACACCCTACTATGTTCTCAGTTAACCCTTGTGAGTCGTGTTCTCAGTTAGCTCCTGTCAGTTGCACTGAGTTTTGAGTTGCCTTCGTGAGCGTGTTTAAGATCCTCGTCTTCTCCAACTTCTGTCTTTGTTAGAGCTCCTTGGAACCATAGGTAAGCGTCTCCTTTCCTTTCAACCATGACTGCCTCGTCGTTCTGGCGCCAAACTCTCCTCTGGTTGCCACCTCTCCGGCCGCCATGGTGGGTCTCGTGGGTGTAGCTACAGTCGTGTGCATGCATGAGAAGAGGTCCATAATCCCCCTCCACAATCAGCTATGCATGGCGACAATAATCTCTGCGTGGCGCATGGTAGGAGCCAAAAAACAGCTCCACGACAACCTCTGCATGGCCATCTCAGGCGGCGATGTGGTTGCGCCCCTGTTTGGAGCCCCATAAAAGTGGATCCATGGTTTGTCATACGTGAGATTCATTTGTTTGTATTTGTGTTGTAGGTTGGATCTTCACCGGCGGCCATCAACTTCAGTGTGACCTTGTCCCACCAACAGCTTGCTTGGTATCTTGTCGGAGGAACACCCAGGTATGGTTCTGTGTCTTATCTGTCATGGTTGGAACCTCAAACTTGGTTGGTACGTTTGTTTTTGGAGTCTGTGTGCATGCATAAGAGTGTGTGTGACCATTCAAATTTGAGGTATAAAACATGGCCAAACCTCCTCCACTCCAACAAAAAATGGGCACCATACGACCATGGTTTCTGACTTGTGCATTGGTTATGTTGTTGTTGCAGGCTGTATCTTAGGGGCATCGTCAAGTTCGCCGTCAGCTTGTCCTACAAAGAGCTTCGTTCATATCTTCTCCCACAGGTATGGTTCATATGTTGTTTTCCATGGTTGCAACCTCGAAACCGATTCTACTCGGTGTTGTACTCCATGCATGGTTGAGGTAAAAATTGGTAGCTACTGCATATGCATCTTGGAAGCAAAAAATGGGAATGATGGAAGCAAAAATTGGAACGAAAAACTGGAACCAAAATCCCTGTTTTTGCAATTATAATTATTATTTGAAAATTTTGAATTTTTTTATATATACTGAAAAGAAAAAAATAATTGAGAGATACATGAAAAAAATTTAGTAAAAATTAGGACAAACAATATTAATGCATAATTAAATAAGGAAAAAAAAGTTAAATATAGTTATATTTCAAAAATAAATTTATTATTTTTATAATAAATGGAGTATGTAAAATTGAGAAAAGAAAAAAATTTATAAAAATGAGAATTTGTTAAAAAAAGAAGTAAAAATATTAGAGGAAAAAAATTATTAGTAGTTTTGTAAATAATTTTTGGTTTTGTGATACTTGGTTTGCGAGATGACAATTTTGAATTACTTCCATTAAACATTAATTAATTAATTATATATATATATATATATATATATATATATATATATTTTGCATATGGCAGACAAAAACATCAAGGTCATTGGTTTAGACAATGATGATATAGATACTGATCTGGATATAAACATAATTTCACATATACAAAGTGAGATAAAAAAAGCGAAGCAAAGTAGGAGCGATGACAATTCTTTGTTTGATAACTTATGGATTAAATATGTTGTCTATGGTAACTTGTAGTAGCGGTAACATTAGGGACTTTATTTCTGAAAAAGAACGTTGTCGGCACGAGTTGATGTCATACCTTATTCATACTGAACAATCTCGTGACATTATTCGCATGAGACTGGAGGCGTTCATTAACTTGTGTCAACGAGTAAGGACAACTGGATTAGTAAACGATGTGTTACAATCAACAGTGAAAGAACAAGTGGCTAAATTTCTTCATATTATCGGACATAACATTAAAAATCGAACTGTTTTATTTTTTTTCCATCGATCAGGTGAAACCGTTAGTCGACACTTTCATAACGTGTTGAATGCGATAATAATGTTGGACGAACAATTAATTGTTCAACCATCAGGAAGAGATGTGTGTCCGTATATATTAAACAACAACCGATTTTACTCATACTTTAAGGTAATCTACTTACCAACTTTGTGTCTATATAACATACACATAGATTGTCTAAAATTTAATGATAAAAAATTCTTTTACCAATTAGGATTGTTTAGGGGCAATAGATGGAACTCATGTTCGAGTTAAAGTCGCAAGATCCGATGCCCCTCGTTTTCGTGGAAGAAAAGATTGGCCAACACAAAACGTATTTGCAGCTTGTGATTTCGACATGAAATTCACATATGTTCTAGCAGGGTGGGAAGGAACAACATCTGATTCAAGAATATTAAAGGATGTTCTTACGAGAGAGGATCGTCTTATCATACCACAAGGTTTATTATTTATAACGTGGGGATTTTGTGTATAGTCAACTAGTTTAAATATTCTAATTAGTATAACTTCAATGATTTTAAATAGGTAAATACTACTTGAGGGATGTTGGATTTATGTTAAAAGCAAACATAATGACCCCTTATCAAGGCATTAGATACCACCTTAAAGAGTATTCTCGACGAGCTCCACAAAACCCCCGAGAATTGTTTAACCATCTACATTCGTCTCTTAGAAATGTAATTGAAAGAACATTTGGAGTTTTGAAGAAAAGATTTCCTATAATAGCTAGTGGAACAAAGCCTCATTATTCATTTGATACAATGACGAATATAGTTCTAGCATGTTGCATTCTACACAATTTTCTTCGAGGGATAGACAACGATGAATCACTATTAGCTGAAGTGGATCGAGAGTTGATGGAACAAGATGTGGATAATATGTCGACTCAAGTTCGGGAAGAGGATTATAGGGAATGATCAAACTTAAGAGATACTATAGCAAATCAAATGTGGATAGATTATCAAAATCATTAGATTTTGTATGTAACAATATATTTAATGAGATGTACTATTGTTATTGTTGAAATACGATTACATTACGATTATCTATTTATAATAATTATATGTTGGTATCGTAATTACATATATTATCTTTCCAATAGGTTTAAAATGAACAGAGGAAATGATATTGCACCGAATTCGTCAACTATAGTGCGCGAGTTTACAAAATGGACTGATGACATGGACTTTCGGTTGTTGACTGTTATGCTTCATGAGGCAAGGTTGGGTAATCGGGTTGATGGTAGTTGGACAACTCAAGCATATAATAATATAGTTGAATCCCTAAGACAGTCTAGATTAATTGGTATAACTAAAAATAATGTTAAAAATCGACAAAAAAGTCTTAAGGATAGATGGCGGGAGGTCCACGATTTGTTTCATGGACTTAGTGGATTCGCTTGGGATGATATCACAAAACGGTTTATGGCTGAGCAAGAAGTATGAGATGACCTAATCAAGGTACTATTATATGAATTATCATTTGTTGATATAACAAAACATAACAATTACGAGTGTTAACCATTCTCATTAATTTGTAAGCGAAGCCTTCTGCAGCTAAATGGAAACTGTCAACTATAAGGTATTATGATTTGATGAAAGAATTGTGGGGTGCTGATCGAGCCACTGGACATATGGCAAGAACTTCGCGTCAGTCCCGAATGAATATCAGTTCTCCAAGGGCAACAATCGACTTGAACGTTGATGTGGACCCCACACCAGAGGATCAACCATTTCACTTTGGTTTTGATGCAGGATTTGATACAACTTATCGATCACCTCCACGCATGAGTTCCGACAGTCCTACTGAGGGTGCTCAGTCAATGTCATATGTTCCGTCTATTGGTTCAGGTGGAACCTCTTCATCTCGGGGCACAAAAAGAAAAACGCCTATGGTTGATGTGATGGAAGGTCAATTTGACAAACTAACAATGAGGCTGGACACATTTACAGATTACCTTGGGCAAAGTAATTCATTGACCCAACGATTATCTGACATAGCTGAAAGACAGGTGGTCGCCATTGAACGCAGAAATGATTTAATTAATGAGCAAGTTAATGTTATGAGACGATCATCAACATTTCAACATTCCGAGTCAGATATATGAGACATATTAGTCGGCATGAACCTAAATGACGAGCAACTTATGCTTCAGTGTTATAATCATTTGTGTACTCACGAATCACATGTTAGACGACTTTTTGGCTTGCCCTCACATCTTCGTCTCTCCCAGTTGTTCATGTTCTTGGGTGGAAGTGATTGAATGATCTGCTATAAAGATCTCAAAATACTTTAAGATTCATTTAGGAGCTCTTCGATCACAATGAATTTGGCAGACCTACTCGGCAAACCTTTCGACGAGATACTACTATTGAAGTACATTCTGACGAGGGAACTTCTGAACTCGAGGACTTGACTGCAAATGATCGATAACATTATAATTATTTGTTTGAAGAGCATTAGTGTGCATAGGTTTATAATTTTAGTAATGTTTATCAAATATCTAATGTTTGTATTAATTAATATTATTTGATAATTAAAATTTATGACATGTAATTATAATATATATATATATATTTATTTTATGTTGAAAATATAAAAATATGACAAAAAATATATATTAATATAATTTTTAACTAAATAATAAAATATTTTTACTATTAAGTTTACATGAATTTTTCATTTAGTTATTATTCTATTTTCACTATATTTTATATTTATTTAAAATAATAGTTTACAATTATATTATTAGTTTTCATAATTATTTGTTATTATTAGTCAATATTAATTATTATTTTATATTTTATAATTATTTAATTATTAGTCAAATAATTTATTTAATATGTCAAAATTATTTTTTTATGGATATACAATGTAAATAATTTTGTAATTGTTTATTTATATAATTTTTAATAACTATTTTAAAAAAATTTATTTTTTTAAATTTGTTTCCACTTACAAACACTTTTAAATTTGTTTTTTCTTTTAAATATATAATCAATGTTAAAATATGGATAATTAATTAAAAAATTATATTTATAATAATTTTAACCTTATTTTATACACAAGGGTAAAATGGTAATTTTCTTAAATAATTAATTACAATTATAATTTTTATATCTCATATAAATCAAATCACTCAAAATTTTTCATAATTTTTTTTTTACTTTCCATTCATCCAAACAACTTTAATTTCACCTCCATTTTTCTTCAAATTCATCCTTTTCCACACTCTCATTTTCACTCTCTCAAATCACTCCAACCAAACAAGACATTAGGGTGAAATTAGGGTAAATTAAAATTGGGATAGATTAGTTGATGAGATGGACTACGCCCACAAAAGTTTAAAAGAAAAGAAGTAAAATGTAAGGGAAAATTTATATTTGTATTTTTCATTTTTTTTATTCATCATTTTTTTTATTTTTGTCTCCTGTTTCAAGAAATATACAACTTAAAAACAAACTATTTTTATTTTTATTTTTATATTTTCAAATTAAATATTTTATTTTTATTTTTATTTTATCTTATTTTATTTACATTGATACTTACATCAAGTCCAATCAGTAATACAATTAGTATTTAATTTAAAAAAAGTAGCATGCATTATGAACTATTCATAAAAACAAGTCCATAACTATCTGAAATCGTACATACAAGGTTATCAGACCGCGAGAGAGCTTGTAGACTAACTTTAGATTCGTTTACTTCATTCTTAAAATAAATATGAATTCAACATTTAAACACAATAATAAGCAAAATAGTAAACAATAAGTTTAGTAGTGCATGATGATAATTATACAAGTTAAAGCTATACCAAAATAAATAATTTCTTCTAATATCCAAAACATCTATTCCATATTTTTACCTAGTCTTATTTCCTACAACACTTTCACTTATAGAGCCGACAATGTAGCTACATTGGCATGTGAAGAATCTTAACCAGTCCCACTTCCACACATTTTATAATTTCAACAATAAAACCATGAACAGAAAAAAAAATTAACAACTAAAATTCAAAACGAACAAAAATAATAAAAATAAAGCAGAAAATAGAATTAGAGAATGAATGAGAAGAGAACTAAACAACAGAGCACGAAAACAAATAGAAATAGAAAATGATTGAGAAGAAAGAAGGAAATCAAACACGCGCAAATGAAGATGAAGAGCTTACGCGGAGGAGATGACTAGATCACGTCACGATGAGGAGACGACCAGGGCGCGTGCGTGGTGAAGACGTCTAGATAGCGTAGAGCAGAGTAGTGAGCATTTCACGTCACGCGACACATTTGACGAAGATGGTTACAACGAGATGAGTTCGATATGATGTGACCACCGACGATGGAAGCTTAAATGGCGGAGGGAGAAACGAAATGGGGGAGAAGAAGAAACACTACTGCGTCGTTTGCTCTGAGTCCTTGTGAGTCTGCAAAGAAATTTTGAACTACATGAATTAATAACTGTAAAAATTTACAAGATTTAGAGGATTTCATAAATTCATAATATTTGAACTACATGAATTTTTCTAGATAATAATTTAATACATTTTATTTTATTTTAAATAATAATAAAATTCACTTAATATTTAATTTAAATAAAGATAATAAAATAACAAGAGAGAAGTGTTCATTATTTGGCAGCAAGAACCCCCAATGGTTGCTTGCTACAGGAATAGCAATTTCACTTGGCCAGCCTTCTGAAGGCCTTTGGCATAACTCAACTGCACTCCCCCAGCAAGGTCTAATGATTCCCTAATTGTTTCGAACGTGGAAGAGTTCATTATTAAGATCATTATTAAAAATATGACTAGAAGAGAGATTTTCTTTTCACTTTCTATTTTAAATTTATATAGTATTTTCTTTTCTTATGTTTTATTTTTTTTATTTTTTGTAGGTTTACTTTTTGCATCTTTGAAGAATATCACCTCTTTTTGGTGGAAAAAAAGTTTTGGATCCATAGGATAAGTATATGGGTAAGCCAAAGGTGTAGGACGCTCCTCTTTCATGTCCTACACCGTTTTTTGGAGAGAAAGAAGTTTGAGATGTGAGATTGGTAAGATTGAGACAACCCAAAAGAAAACACACATCTTTTTTTCATGTTTTCCATACCTTTAGAGGTATTTTGGTGGATTAGGACAAATTTAACATATTTAGACTATATGAACTCTAGCCTATAGGTTTAGGTTAAGTTTATGTCTACTTTTATAATTTCATCTAGGTCTATCTCTCAAAAACCTATAAATAAAAGGTTTCCCCTCATGTAATTAAGTTGAATATTTATGATAAGTTTGTAAAGTTTTCTTAGAATGTTCCATCCTTTTTAATATCTTATCTTGAACTTTAGTTCAAGTGGCGACAACCACCACTTATCTAGGGTGGTTCATTCCCTAGTTCCACCTCCACACCGTACTTCTCTTCTCTTAATCTTTTTTACTATATTTCTTCACTCCATTTATATATCCAAGAGGCTAGTCCATTTTTCCAGCTCTTGTCTCTATTCTTTTCTAGTTGTATTTCATTTACTCTCTCCATAATCTTTGAAAATGAACCTTCACATCTAGATAGACAACTATCTTAATATCCAATAAGAATTTTTCTTAGATTTACTTATTTTATTGCTTAAAATTATCCGTCTTATCTTCTTAAAATTTTGGAACTTACTTTATTTTACATTATAAACACTTCTCACACTTAGTTCTTTCTTGCACACCAAATAATGGGGTGAGCAGTATATTCCCAAACACTTCAATTCCGAACTCCACAGCTTTAAGGGCAACATGGTGCACAATGTTCCCACCCGAGCTATCCCAACCATGTAGATATGAACTTTCTTATCCTTCTTACTTTGAAGCCAAGATCTAGAACTAACCCACTTAAGAGTTGTCCACCCATCATCATATGCACAGGGATACCTATTCTCAGGTACGCCTATAGTTCACAGACACCACAACGACCTTACAAATACTTACAGTCGACGACACAACGTATCATATATGGCACTATTGGATGAAGAATGAGCAAAACTTCCACCCTGGAAGAATATGATGACAGGAACCACCTCAAAGCTCACGGGCTTCTTAAGCTCAAGAATGTTCACCAGACATTCTTCTCCCTTAGCAGGATGATAGATTCGTGTAAGAAGATTGATTTCACGGTCAACAATGGCATCAAAAGATAACACTCCATCCACGGGGTTCGCATTTGCCGGAACTTTCATTCAAGGAACTCTGCTAAGTCCCAGTTGAAAGTACCATCCGAACAACGAAGAAGATTGTACGCCAACTTGAAATTTAAGATCAAAACCCACATATTCAGGGGAACCACCATCTACACCAATTTTTATTTTCATTTTAAATATAAAAAAATAAAGGATAATAAGGAGAAAATTAAATCAAACAGAGGATAATTAAAAACAAAGAATAAACCCCATAATTTTGGGAAAAGTGATGAATCAAACTTCCCAAATCAGCACATTGAATGACAAACTATAAATAGTGAAACCGTCTTAGGTGGAACCAGGACTAATCCAACCAAAACCAGAAACTATTACACTAACAGAACAAAGCCCAACCTACTTTTCCACTAAACCAAAATATATCCAAACTCAAAACGATGACGAAGAATCACCAATACGAGAGTGATTATCATTTTATCAGAGTTATACACCAAACAAAATATAGAAAATAAAAGCCATACTATATAGTAGACACAAAAACAAAGACAAAATAAGAGAAAAACAGAGAATCAATCAGAACTCAAAGAGGAAAGATTGCCATGACCAATCATTGTACGGTTGAAGAATTGGAAGTTGTGTGAGAAAAACATTCAATAAAAAAATATATAACGTAAAGAGTGTGTGTACCTTAGTACCTTAGAATCATTGGGGTTGAGCTCGTTACTCCCAGCCATGGATACGATCCTCTAATCCGATTACAAATCTGCGACGTGCTTTGCAACTTAAGAATCAAAAACCCTCTGGATGAGGCAAATCCATAAAGCAGGAGAATCGTGTTATGTGAGATCGAAAAGTAAGGGTTGTTTTGTTTTGTTTGTATGTTAAATTATGATATCACAGTGCGTTAAGAGAGGAGTACATATATAAATTATTGGTGTTGACTCTTAATCGATGTGAAACTTACCACGGTGGGTATTAATATTCCGTCTAAAAATGAAAGTGTTTCAACCTCATGTTGTTATGATAACATCGTTAGGATCAATTCTCATTTCTGAAATATTATCAACTTTTGAGTTATAGTTCGTCATGATTTTGTCTTTAAAGCATGCCTCAATGGATTAAGAGAGGATGGTGTTTTGGTCTCAATTATTAAGTGATGTGGGACTCGTGAGTGTACTGGAACATAAACCCCTAGTTAAGATTTAAGGGGTATGAGTGGAGCGAGACTTTATTCTTAATCTCATGGTAAGTTTGAATGTTTCATCTAGGAACAAGACTGTCTCAATCTCATATTTTCTATGATAACATCGTTAGGGTCAATTCTCATGTTCAAAACATTGTCCGCTTGGAGCTCTAGTCTCTTACGGTTTTGTCCTTAAAAAGCGTCTCATAAGTTAAGAGAAGAGATTGTATATAAACTATTTTATAACACTGTTAGGGTCTCACTATGTTGGATGTATACCTACCTGAGCCAAATCCATTAAAATCACTTTATTTAATTATCTTGTTATAAATTATCTTATTAATTATCTTTTATATGTTGCTCCAGATGTTTACTTTAACTTGATTTTTGTGCAGATACTTGATGATGGTGGTTATGATAATCACTTTGGTTCTGAAATGTGGAAACTCACCAAAGGTAATTTGATTGTGGCCAAAGGGGAGAACAACTTCAAGCTTTATTGGACTAAAGCTTTGGTTGCTAAAGACAGTGTGAATGACATGTATATGGAATTATCTTTGTGGCACCAAAGGCTTGGTCATATCAGTGAAAAAAGACTTGATAGCTCAACTAAAAAAGATGTTTTTTCAAGATTGAAAAAAGCAGAGTTGGAGAAATGTTCTTATTGTATGGTTGGTAAACAAACCAGAGTATCCTTCAAGAAACATCCTCCCTCCAGAAAATCAGAGTTGCTTGAATTGGTGCATATTGATGTTTGTGACCTGTTAAAGATAAAGTCTTTTAGTGGTACACTTTACTTTGTTACTTTTATTTATGACTGTTCCAGGAAGCTTTGGGGTTATGCACTACAGAGAAAAGACCAAGTGTTGGAAAAGTTTAAAGAATTTCATGCTTTGGTTGAGAGGCAGTTAGACAAGAAGTTGAAGTGCATTCGTTCTGACAATGGTGGTGAGTATTGTGGATCATTTTATGCTTATTGTAGACAATATGATATTGCACATGAGAAGACTCCTCCCAAAACTCCTTAGTTGAATGGTTTAGCAAAAAGGATGTTAGGTGTATGCTTTCTGAAGTAAAGTTGCCTAAAAATTTCTGGAGTGAGGTATTGCTTACGAAAGTGCATGTTATTAAACTAAGTCCTGCAATTGCTTTGAATTCTAAGGTGCCAGACAAAATTTGGTTTGCCAAGAATGTCACCTATGATCATTTGCGTGTCTTTGACTATAAAATATTTGTTTATGTTCCAAGGGATGAAAGATGCAAGTTGGATGTGAAGACAAGACAATGCATCTTTATTTCTTATGGTCAGGATGAATTTGGCTATAGGTTGTATGATCCTCTTGAAAAGAAGCTTGTTAGAAGTCGTGATGTGCAGTTCATGGAAGATCAAACCATTGAAGACATTGATAAGGTGGAGAAGTCTACACTTAATAAAAATGGTGATGTGGTTGATGTTGATCCAATTCGGCTGCATGTTAATGACATGGATACTAATGTTCATAATGATGAGCAACATGGTGATATTAATAATCATCATGTTATAGATGGATTAGAGGTTCCGATTACTGATGCTCAACATGAAGATGATATGGTACATGATGATGCACCTAAGCTACCACAAGTTCAACTTAGGAGATCTAACAAACCAAAACAACCTTCTAAGAAGTACTCTCATAATGAGTATGTGATGTTGACTAATGAAGGAGAACTTGAATGTTATGAAGAGGCCATTGAAAGTGAAGAAAAACAAAAGTGGTTGGATCAATGCAGGATGAGAGGAAATCCTTGCATGATAATCACACTTATGACTTGGTGAAGTTGTCTAAGGGCAAGAGAGCCTTAGAGAACAAGTGGATTTTCAGGATGAAGTAAGAGAACAATTCTACATCTCCCAAGTACAAAGCCAAACTAGTGGTGAAAGGCTTCAGACAGTGAAAGGGTGTTGACTTCAATGAGATTTTCTCACCTGTTATGAGGATGACATCTATCAGAGCTGTGTTAAGTTTAGCTACTACTCTTGATTTGGAGGTTGAGCAGATGGATGTGAAGACTGCTTTCCTTCATGGTGATTTGGAGGAAGAGATTTATATGAAGCAACATGTTAGTTTCCTTGTTGAAGGAAAAGAAGACTATGTGTGTAGGCTATGAAAAAACATATATGGTCTGAAGCAGACTCCAAGGCAGTGGTATAAGAAGTTTGAGTCTGTTATAGTGAGCAAGGCTACAAGAAGACTACTTCTAACCATTGTGTTTTTGTCAGAAAATTCTTCGATGATGATTTCATTATCCTATTGTTATATGTTAATGACATGCTTATTATTGGGAAAGATGTTTCCAAAATTGACAAGTTGAAGAAGCAACTGGGCGAGTCATTTGCCATGAAAGACATGAGAGCTGCTAAAAAGATTCTTGGTATAAGTATCACTCGTGACAGAAAAGAGAAGAAACTTTGGTTATCACAAGAGCACTACATTCAGAAGGTGTTGCAAAGATTCTAGATGGAAAATGCTAAAGTTGTAAGTACTCCTCTTGCTGCTCATTTTAAATTGAGTGTTAAACAATGTCCTTCAAATGAAGCTGAGAAGATAAATATAAGCAAAGTTCCTTATGCATCTGCGGTGAGTATTTTGATGTATGCAATGGTATGTACAAGACCTGATATTGCACATGCTGTTGGTATAGTCAGTTGTTTTCTGTCAAATCCAGGTAGAGAGCGTTGGAATGTTGTGAAATGAATTTTGAGGTATCTTCGTGGTACTAATGGTTTGATGCTTTGTTTTGGAGGTGATAAGCATACTTTGGTGGGTTACTCAGACTTAGAAATGACTGGAGACATTGATTCCAAGAAGTCCACTTCAGGCTATTTGATTCAATTTGCAAGGGAGTTGTGGCTTGGCAATCGAAGTTGCAAAAATGTGTAGCGTTATCTACTACTGAGGCAGAATTCATTGCACTTCCTAAAGCATGTAAGGAATTGTTATGGGTGAAAAAATTCTTGCAGGAGTTTGGTTTTGTGCAATACAAATACTTATTATTGTGACAGTCAAAGTGTTATCCATCTTGGTAAGAATCCAACCTTCCATTCTAAATCAAAACATATTGATGTGAGGTATCATTAAATATGTGATATTTTGGATGCTAAGCTATTAGAATTAGCTAAGATTCATACAGATGATAATGGTGCTGATATGATGACCAACGCATTACCAAGAGTAAAGATTGAAGATTATTGTGAAGTCGTCGGTTTGGCGGATATCTCCACATAGTCGTGAGGGGGAGATTTGTTGGGTTATTGGACTCCCTTCCTATGTGGAGAATATACCCAGAAATAATGGTCTCACTTAATTTAGGGGAGAGGGGTCAGATTAAAATAAAAAGAAGAAGAATAGTCAATTGAAGAAAGAGAAAAATCCAAGTGAGAAGAAAGGAAGATAGAAAGTTTATTTTCGCAAAAAGGCAAAGTCTGCTCTGGTATTTTCGTCGGTGTGAGTTCCTTCACCGTCAGATCGGGCTGATGTTTGGACAGTGGATTCTAGAGCTATAGTTCTTCATTCTGAGTGGTTTGGGAGAAAGCAGTTTCGTATCAGCAACTCTATTTTTGGAATTTTTATCTTTTTGCTTCTCATTTGTAAGCATTTGTGCTTGGTTTGTTTAGCTAATTGTAAACACCATTTGGTGTGTTTATTTGAGACTCTTCTATACCTTATTATTGATCATAGTGATTTTTTTTGTCAGGATGATTCGTAGCTTTTACCCTTGCGGGTTTTCCACGTTAAAGTTGATTGTGTCTCTTTGTGTCTTCACTTTCTAGATTGCTCTATTTTATTGATGCTCCTCGCATATTCTCGCAAATAGGAAGATGCGTTATTACTCCTTTGTTGAATTGTTGTTACTATCATCAGTATGCTAGTATTTGATCAACATCCTAGCATAATTTGTAATGGAGTAAAATGTTTCTTTATTATCACTTGCCTGACTCCAATGCACTAATGCACTAATATTTTTGGTGATGACTTTATACACCATCTTTTACATCTAATATTTTCAATAATGTTTTTGGTGAACAATTATGTTTGGTATCTCATGCTTTCCATTTTGTTGACTCTTTTCTCATGCAGTTTGAGAACTACATTGTGTGTTCGATTTAAGAGTGAGGTGGTGGCTTGTGGAGTTGTTTATGTTGCTGCTCGCAGGTTCCAAGTACCCCTTCCAGAGAATCCACCATGGTGGAAGGCATTTGATGGGGAGAAGTCTGGGATTGATGAAATCTACGGGTTCTGACTCATCTTTATAGCCTTCCAAAGGCACAATATATACCAGTCTGCAAGGACGACTCACTTTACATTCTCCAACAAATCATCTGAATCAAAGTCTTAATCAACACCAAAGGTGACATCCACTTTACCGCTATGGTAAAATATTATATATATCCTAGGTCTGCACGGACGAGGACTTTACATTCTCCAACAAATCATCGGAATCAAAATCTCAATCAACATCAAAGGTGACATCCACTTTACCGCTGTTGTAAAATATTATATATATCCTAGGAGAAGTAAAAAATTAGGTATTATCAAAATAAAAAGTATTAATTTATATATCTCTTATTTATCTTAATTGTGTTACCCATTCCCTATATACTAACTCTCTGATTGTTTCCATTGATATACTGTTGACGAAGATAGAAATATGAGGATGACACACGTTTGGTTCAACAAAAATACGACGAAATGAAAGTGAGGAAAAGCGGGAGATGGGACAAAGAGGTTCTTCGCTGATGCACGAAGAAAAGAGATGAAAGTCCCCTAGACAAATTGAAATGTCAAACTTACCCTCACTCTGCAAGATTCACTAGTGCATGCATGCAGAAAGATTCTTAAGAATCTCTGCAAAAAGTTGAGGATCTCTGCAAAAATTGTTTCATGTGTTTCAACAGGGATTCAACCCTATTTTTATAACCTGTGATCACAAGCAGAAGTTCTCACGGCATCCTCCATTGCAGTTAGGGATGGCAAAACGGGCTAGGCCCAGCAGGCCGACCTGCTAGCCTGCCATAATATGGCGGGGCGGGTTGGTGTTTTCAGCCCACCAGCCCGCTTTGCCTCGCCCGCCAAGCCCGCCAACCCGTCGGGCCAACCCCACGGGATGGGGCGGGCTAGCCCGCGGCCCGTCTAATTAATAAAAAAATATTTTTTTATTGTAATAAAATTAATTATAAAGATAATATATAAAGTTAAAAATTTTAAAAAGAGAATTAAAAAAGTTTTATTCTCGAGAAAATATTCTCCTTCCCGAAACATAATATTCTCTCCTTGTTCTCCTTGTTTATCCTAAGCATCGATTATTTTTATCCTTATTACTTGAATTAATGGTGTAAGAATTAATCAACCAAGAATAATATGAAGTTTTATCAAATAAAAAAGATATAGGTATTTTAATTTTTCAATATAAAAATATAAATTTTATAAGTTTAACGTTATTTATATATATATATATATATATATATATTTGTTATTATTTATTATTATGTAAATTTTATTATTGTTCTAAATTATAATTTCTTAAAATAATGTATTGATTTATATTATTAAATTGAAATAATATATATATATATATATATATTGAATTATTGACAAACAAATAATAATTTTATTATTAAATTTATTAAAAAAATATTTAAAAAAAATATTTTTTCTAAATTATGGCGGGTCGACCGCCAGCCACTAATCCGCCCCTTGGCGGGGCGGACCAAGATCTACAGTCCGTCATGACTATATCGGGCCAGCCCACCCCGCCCCGCTTTTGGCGGGCCAAAGGCGGGACGGGCCAAAACGGGGCGGGTTGGCCCGTTTTGCCATCCCTAATTGCAGTTCTCACAGCAGCCTCCATTGAAGCTCTAGAGAAGATCAATATGTGCTACACAATCTTAGGTAAGATTAGTCAATGTTTTTATCATGCAAATGTTTCACCCCATGTCATACATTCAAGCTCAACTGATATTATACTAGGAAACGTTGATTTATCAACCTTCTTTGCCTAAGTAATGATCTTTGACAGAGAGAATCTTTTTTAATAAAACTTCACCAGCATGTTCGCTTTCTCATCCTTCTTCAGAATCATACGCCTATGATGAGACGGAATGATCCGAGGGTAACCGGACCGAGTGAGGGAAATTGGTACCGCATTGTCAGGATGAACGAATTCATCTCCACCATAGGCCATCATCAAGGATGAAGCTGCTTGCTTAAAATAGAAAGCGCAGAACAACCACCCAGATTTCCGACCAAGGTGAACAATGCGAATAACAACAAGATGGATCCCCACACAGAGTTCCTTGTTCAGACCATCAAAGATCACTAAAGCACCTTTTGGTATGACGATCTATGTTTTCAACCTCCATTGAAGGTCCACCGAATAATATAGGTAAGCTTCTTCGTTATGGCGCCAACCATAATCAATTATGGTGCGTCTTCTTCCTCCGGCGGTTTATGCATCATTTTGGCGCCAGACTCTCCTTCGGTGGGCGCCTCTCTAGCCGCCATGGTGGACCTCATGGCTGCAGCTGATCCAGTCGTGTGCATGCATGAGAAAAGGCCAAACCTCTTCGACTCCAACAGAAAATGGGCAGTATACCATCATGGTTTCTGACTTGGTTATGTTGTTGTTGCAGGCTTAGGGGTGTCGTCAAGTTCGCCGTCAACTTGTCCCACGAAGAGCTTCATTCATATCTTTTCTCACAGGTATGGTTCATATGTTGTCTTCCATGATTGCAACCTGAAACTGGTTCTAATGGTGTTGTACTCCATGCATTTTTTTTATTTCGACTACTAGTAAATATCGAAACACTTAGTAATTAGTTCATTGGAATTATTGTCTTTGTTTAGCATTTTGCAAGATTATGATGAAAAGAAACAAAGAAAGGATGAAATTTATTTCTGGTTTAGAAACACGACTCAGTTGTGTCCCAAAACTGAATTTTTTTTATAAGTCGTGTACACATTAGACAATAAAAAATATGATTGCATAGTTGAGCATGTACTTTGATATTTTATCTTTTAAAAGTTTCAAACTTAAAATATTCTCTTTTTGATAGAAAAAGTTTTCCAAACATGACAAAGGTATACGAGTGAGAGTTTCTGCAAAATATATCTGTTATTAAATCAGAAACCTAACAAAATGAGAATAGAAAGAGTGAAACGTACACGTATTAAAATAATTGTAAGGTTGGATTATTTCTAGGCTCATCCACATGACAGGTCCATTTGAAAGGTGTGGAATGGGCCCAAGATAAGGCTATTGAACCCAAGTTTTAGACATGTTAATATATAATACTTTTATTATAAAATAAAAAATGTTATATACATACATATAATTTTCTTATTAAAAATGCAAAAAAAAAATTTAAAATATGTATTTTTGTAGATGGAAGTTGTGGTTAATGTATATAAGTGTGGTGTGTGGATTATGATAAGCATCTGGGATCATTTCAACTACCTATAAATGTCACAGTTTCGTGTACTAAAAAACCTAGTTAGTCTAGTAATGGCATGGAGTTGAGGTAAAAATTGGTAGTTGCATGCATGCATCTTGGAAGCAAACACGGGGAATAATAGAAGAAATATTGGAACGAAAAAATGGAATTAAAAACTCTGTTTTTGCAATTATAATTATTGTATGGAAATTTTGAATTTTTTTTATAGACACGGAAAAGAAATAAAATAATTGAGAGATCATACATGAAACAAATTTAATAAAAATTATGACAAACACTATTAATGCATAATTAAATAAGGGAAAAAAAGTTAAATAAGTTATATTTAAAAAATAAATTTATTGTTTTTTTATAATAGATGGAATATGTAAAATTGAGAAAAGAAAAATTTTATAGAAATGAGAATTTGTTAAAAAAGAAGTGAAAATATTAGTGGAAAAAAAAATATTAGTAGTTTTGTAAATAAATTTTTTATAAAACATTAAACTTATATGATTTTAGTCTTGTATACATTAACTGAATATATTTTATTTTCTAAATATTAAAATTATATATTTTGAATTACTTCCATTAAACATTAATTAATTATATATATATATATATATATATATATATATATATATATAATTGTATAATGTGAAATACAATTAAGATATGATAAATAAATAAAAAAATTATTATTATAATTGTAATAATTGTTGAGTAAATCTATAAGATAATTTAAGTTTAATGTTAAAAAATAATTTTATACTACATAAATCAATTAAATATTTAAAAATGTCAATTCTAAATAATAAGAAGAGAAAATATATTGATAATATTTAAACTGTGTAGTATAAGTTTATAAGAGATAAACTTAAATATAAAAATAAATTGTAATAGTAGTATCAATTGGTTGTTCTATAACCTTATAATAGTTGCCAAATAATAAGACTGTGAGAATGTGAATTCTGGTCATTTATTTGTGGTGTGTGAATTTATTTATTGTATATATATGTTGCATTGTGTGGTTTGGCTGAGTCCGAGGGTGGTCGACCTTCAGCATATTTAAATTGTGTGTGATTTGGTTATGTATATTGGAAGTATCATTATCAATGAAAAATGTTTTTTTATTAGTTAACGAGAGTTATAAATAGGGTTTACTTCTTATTTAAATATAATTAAATTATTAAATTTGGTATTTGGAAATAAATTTTCAGATGACAGACAAAAACATCGAGATCATTGGTTTAGATAATGACGATATAGATAATGGCTTGGATATAAACATAATTTGACATATACAAAGTGAGATAAAAAAGTGAAGCGAAGTAGGAGCGATGACAATTCTTTGTCTGATAGCCTATGGGTTAAATATGTTGTCTACGGTAACTTGTAGTAACCCTAAATTTAGGGACTTTATTTCTGAAAAAGAACGTCGTCGGCACGATTTGATGTCATACCTTATTCATACTGAACAATCTCGTGACATTATTTGCATGGGACCGGAGGTGTTCATTAACTTGTGTCAACGAGTAAGGGCAACTGGATTGGTAAACGATGGGTTACAATTAACAGTCGAAGAACAAGTGGCTAAATTTCTCCATATTATCGGACATAACGTTAAAAATCGAACTGTTTCATTTTTCTTCCATCGATCGGGTGAAACCTTTAGTCGACACTTTCATAACGTGTTGAATGCGATAATAATGTTGGAGGAACAATTAATTGTTCAACCATCAGGAAGGGATGTGTGTCCGTATATATTAAACATCAACCGATTTTACCCATACTTTAAGGTAATCTACTCACCAACTTTGTGTCTATATAACATACGCATAGATTGTCTAAACTTTAATGACAATATATTTTTTTGACCAATTAGGATTGTTTAGGGGCGATAGATGGAACTCATGTTCGAGTTAAAGTCGCAAGATCTGATGCCCCTCGTTTTCGTGGAAGAAAAGATTGGCCAACACAAAACGTATTTGCAGCTTGTGATTTCGATATGAAATTCACATATGTTCTAGCAGGGTGGGAAGGAATAACATCTAATTCAAGAATATTAAAGGATGTTCTTACAAGAGATGATCGTTTTATCATACCACAAGGTTTATTATTTATAACGTGAGGATTTTGTGTATAGTCATCTAGTTTAAATATTCTAATCAGTATAACTTCAATGATTTTAAATAGGTAAATACTACTTGGGGGATGCTGGATTTATGTTAAAAGCAAACATAATGACCCCCTATCGAGGAGTTAGATACCACCTTAAAGAGTATTGTCGACGAGCTCCACAAAACCCACAAGAATTGTTTAACCATCGACATTCGTCTCTTAGAAATGTAATTGAAAGAACATTCGGAGTTTTGAAGAAAAGATTTCCTATAATAGCTAGTGGAACAGAGCCTCATTATTCATTTGATACAATGACGAATATAGTCCTAGCATGTTGCATTCTACACAATTTTCTTCGAGGGGTAGACAACGATGAATCACTGTTAGCTGAAGTGGATCGAGAGTTGATGAAACAAGATGTGGATAACATGTCGACTCAAGTTCGGGAAGAGTATTATAGGGAAGGGTCAAACTTAAGAGATGTTATAGCAAATCAAATGTGGATAGATTATCAAAGTGATTAGATTTTGTATGTAACAATATATTTAATGAGATGTATTATTGTTATTGTTGAAATATAGTTAAATTACGATTATCCATTTATAATAATTATATGTTGGTATTATCATTACATATATTGTCTTTCCAATAGGTTTAAAATGAACAGAGGAAAGGATATTGCACCAGATTTGTCAACTGTAGTGCGCAAGTTTACAAAATGAACTGATGATATGGACTTTCGGTTGTTGACTGCTATGCTTAATGAGGCAAGGTTGGGTAACCGGGTTGATGGTAGTTGGACAACCCAAGCCTATAATAATATGGTTGAATCCCTAAGACAGTTTGGATTAATTAGTATAACTAAAAATAATGTTAAAAATCGACAAAAAAGTCTTAAGGATAGATGGCGGGAGGTTCACGATTTGTTTCATGGACTTAGTGGATTCGCTTGGGATGATATCACAAAACGGTTTATGGCTGAGCAAGAAGTATGGGATGACCTGATCAAGGTACTATTATATGAATTATCATTTGTTGTATAATAATTACGAGTGTTAACCATTCTTATTAATTTGTAGGCAAAGCCTTCTACAGCTAAATGGAGACTGTCAACCATAAAGTATTATGATTTGATGAAAGAATTGTGGGATGTTGATCGAGCTACTGGGCATATGGCAATAACTTCGCGTCAGTCTCGAAGGAATATCAGTTCTCGAAGGGCAACAGTCGACTTGAACATTGATGTGGATCCCACACCAGAGGAGCAGCCATTTGACTTTGGCTTTGACGCAAGATTTGATACAACTTATCGATCACCTCCACGCATGGGTTCTGACAGTCCTGCTGAGGGTGTTCAGTCAATGCCATCAGTTGCGTCTACTGGTTCAGAGGGAACCTCTTCATCTCGGGGCACAAAAAGAAAAGCGCCTATGATTGATGTGATGGATGGTCAATTTGACAAACTAACAACGAGGCTGGACACATTTACAGATTACCTTGACCAAGGTAATACATTAACCCAACGATTATCTGACATAACTTAAAGACAAGTGGTCGCCATTGAACGCAGAAATGATTTAATTAATGAGCAAGTTAATGTGATGAGACGATTATCAACATTTCAACATTCCGAGTCAGATATATGGGACATGTTAGTCGACATGAATCTAAACGACGAGCAACTTATGCTTCAGTGTTATAATCATTTATGTACTCACGAATCACATGTTAGAAGACTTTTTGGCTTGCCCCCACATCTTCGTCTCTCCCAATTGTTCATGTTCTTGAGTGGAAGTGATTGAATGGTTTGTTATAAAAACCTGAAAATGCTTTAAGATTCATTTAGGAGCTCTTCAATCATAATGAATTTGGCACACCTACTCCACAAACATTTCGATGAGATACTATTATTGAAGTACATTCTGATGAAGGAACTTCTGACCTCGAGGATTTGACTACAGAAGATCGAGAACATTATAATTATTTGTTTGGGGAACATTAGTGTGCATATGTTTATAATTTTAGTAATGTTTGTCAAATATCTAATGTCTGTATTAATTAATATTATTTGATAATCAAAATTTATGACATGTAATTCTAAAATATATATATATATATATATATATATATATTAATTATGTATTGAAAGTATAAAAATATGACAAAAATATATATTAATATAATTTTTAACTAAATAGTAAATATTTTTATTATTAAGTTACATGAATTTTTTATTTAAATATTATTTTATTTTCACTATATTTTATATTTATTTAAAATAATAATTTACAATTATATTATTAGTTGTCATAATTATTTATTATTAGTTAATATTAATTATTATTTTTGAATTTATAATCATTTAATTATTAGTCAAATAATTGTTTAATATGTCAAAATTATTTTTTATGTATATATAGTGTAAATAATTTTGTAATTGTTTATTTATAAAAAATTTAATAACTATTTTAAAAAAAATTAATTTTGTAAAAAAAAAATTCCACGTACAAACATTATAAAAAAATTTATTTTTTTTCTTCCAAATATACAATAAAAGTTAAAATGTAGGTAATTATTAAAAAATTACATTTATAATAATTTTAACCTTATTTTATACATAAGGGTAAAATAATAATTTTTTCAAATAATCCATTAAAATTATAATTTTTATATTTCATATCAATCAAATTATTCACAATTTTCGATAAATTTTCTCTTCATTTTTCCTTCATCCAAACAACTTTAATTTTCATTTCATTTCTTTTGAAATCCCTCATTTTCCACTCCCTATTCTCACTCTTCCAAATCACTCCAACCTAAACTCTAAAGAACAAAGCAAAAGAATAAAATATATAAACCTAATATTTTAAAGAAAAAATAACAATTCATATTCTACTTGAAACTCAAAGATAAAGAAACGAGATTTCACCAAACAATTTTTAAGATGAAAAATATATTTTTTATTTATTTTATAATACTTCTTCAAAATGTTGTTTCATTTGAGTTTTTTCCTATATGATAAAGTGGATGTTATTCAACATTTAAACGTTGAAGATTGTCTATATGAGAATATATTATACTTAAACTTTGATATATTAATCTATTTACCAAACATTACTAAAAAACCCTTTATAAAAATGAAGTACTAGGATTGAATTATATAATAATAATAAATCAAAACATGGGAGGGATAACATTTTTGGAAGTCCTTGACATAGCTATTACTTATGCACCATCCTTAACATTGATTGACCGAGAATAAAGATAATGAAAAGGCGCATTGCATTCCATGCATCATCATCTTTTCAATTCTTAATTATTGAACCGGCTTTCATGGAATAGGATCCGTAAGAGACAGGAAACCTAGCTTAGTTAAAGAACCAACAACAATGTTTACTAACCAGTCAACCACATAAGTAAATTTATAAGCTTTTTCCTTTTAAAAAAAATCATAATCCTATATATAAAAAATAAATAAATATTTTGAGTAAATTATAAAATATAACATTAATAATTTGTTTAATATTACATATATTTTACAAATAGGTTGCGCCGAGCCATGAGAAGGAGACGGACAGTGAAAAGAGGCCTTGTGTTGGTAAAAGGTCAGTACAATCAGCGTCTTCCATAGAAGGCACTTTCTTTTGGGATGCTACGTGGTCTTCACGTTATATGTATTTTTTTCTTCAACTCAGTAACAGAGACATTAATTGTTTTGTCCTTCTGCCCCACTCTCTCCCTTTCCAAGAAGATCATGATTCACACGCTTGTTCCCATTCAATGCTTCCACTTTTATCATCCCATCACAACCTTGCATGAAAGAAAAAAAATTCTACCTCCATATTTAACACTTCTCTCACCTCCGTGCCGGTTGTTTAAAAGCTGCCATTTTTTCTGATTTTGTAGGTTCGAAACCAACTCACTCGCACTTGTATTATTGCTGCGTGGTGCTACTGATATGTTGTTGTTGTAGCTGAACTGTAGGACTTTGTGTGTTTAATATTTTTACCTTTTTCCCCATTTTTCATTGCAAGTTCAGTTGAGTTAACTGGTTGATCTGCTACCACTTGAATAGAACGACTTCACTGAAACACTGCCGTTTTAGGTGTCGATCTCGGCTTCTGTTACCGAGGACAATCATGAGTAGAACGCCTATTATTGAAATTGAACCCAAGGAACTCAAATTTCTATCTGAGTGCATTTTCCAAATTATTCTGTTAGTGTGTATGACCATGCATGCTGATGCTGTTGAATCTAGTATAACTTGTGTGTTTGTGTGATGGGTTGAGTAATATGTCGTGATTTTTTACCTTTGTAGTTGAATTGAAGAAGCAAAGTTCTTGTACGGTAATAACACCTTTGTGGCGTTCAAGGTCCAAGCTCCTTCTTTTATCTTTTTATCTCTGTTACTTGCTGTTAGGCACAGGATTGAATGGAGAGATTAATCATTTTGGTGTCGTTGATGTTCTCAGGTCAAAACGACGTCGCCTAAGAAATATTCAGCGTGCCCAAATGTTGGAGTTCTCGAGCCCAAAACTACTTGTGAATCATAGGTATATCTTCGTATTGTGTGTGTTTGTGTTTGTTTGGTATCTTTTTCCTTCTTGAGGCACTTGACTTGTTTTTCAGACATTGGTATTTTTCCGGTAAAAGTTCAAACACTTGGTATTTTTTAGCATAACTTTGATCATTTATGTTGGATTATTTTGGGATAGACAACAAATGACCCCAATTTGGCAGGACACAGTTTTCTTGACTACTTATGTTATTTTTCAATTTTAAATTGCTGTAATTGCAGCCAGCAGTTTTTTGGTGAAATGATTTTTTTTAAAGAATATATGTTTTCTCAAACAGACGAAGATAAATCAACACATGAAATTTATTTTTTTCATTTTAATTTCTGTCCCTTTCCCCTCCCAAATTCAATTTTTGTTGCATCTATTTGTCATCAAACAGTTACAATGCAAGTCCAGCGGGAAGTACCTGAAGATATGGTGTGCAAGGACAAGTTCTTAATCCAAAGCTCAGTGGTTCGTGCTGAAACAACCAGTGATGAGGTTACTTCCAACCTGGTATGAATATTTAATTGGGTGTGATTTTTTACTCTCATAGATTTTCTATTAATGTCTATATTTTGACTTATTATTTGGTAATGGTAGTTTGTTAAAGATGGAAGTAAATATATAGAAGAAAACAAGTTGAAGGTGACACTGATCAGGCCACCGAATTCACCCCATTTCTCTCCTATTAATGGAGACTTCAAGCCTGGTCTTGAGCATGGAAAGATTCAGATATATAGTAAAGATGAAATCCAGTCGCCAGAGCCCATGGTCAGTGGAAGCTTCAGTAACACTTGTCTCTAAATTATTGTCTTTCCTCTACTTTGTTTTGAAGATATTTCAAATCCATGAGAAAAGATAATTGAATTTCTTAAGCTAGATATTTTAAGGGTTTTGTTGGTTTTTTATTTCTGGACTATTATTTTCATAATTTTAAAGGTACATTGTTATAGAGTTGCAGAATGTCTTCATTTTTCATGCTTTTTTTTATTATTTTCTGAGAGTTGTCATCTCTGCTGTTTTTGGTAGTCTTTGCGGATGTGCAGATGATCAATTTTACAATTTCAGTTCATAATTGTTGATATAAGCCATTCTAATGTTTTGTTCTGCTCCTTGTATATGAGGTTCTTAAAAATCCAGACATGGGTCATGAGGTATTAAAGCTAGAAGAGGATATGGAATTGAGGCCAGATTATTATATGGGGTTGGACACTATGAAGGATGTAGAGGAGCCAAATGAAGAAACATCGCTAAAAGTGTCAAAAGATAAGGAGTTGAACATGGTTAAGGATGTAGAAGAACTGAAACCACAAAAATTTAGAGGTAGAAGTGTCAAAAGATGTGGATTTGAGCAATGTAAAGAATGCAGAGGAGCAGAAACCAGAAAAAGCAACAGAGTTGAAAGTGTCTAAAGTTCTGGATTTGGACAAAGTGAAGAATGAAGAGGAGCTGAAACCAGAGAAAGAAGCAGGGTTGAAAGTGTCAGAAATTCATAATTTGAACCCAGTAAATACTGTAAAGGAACTGAAGCCAGGAACAGAGTTAAAAATGTCAACAGATCTGGAGTTGAAAACAGTAAAGAATACCAAGGAACTGAAGCCAGAAAAAGGAAGAGAGTTAAAATTGTCAGAAGATATGGAGTTGAAAACATTAAAGAATGTTGAGGATCTGAAGCTAGAAGAAGAAACCGAGTTAAGAGTTTCAAAGAGTATAGAGGAGCTCAAGTTAATGAAAGCAATTGAAGAGATGAAATTAAAGCTCGATGGACTTGAGTCAAAACTAAATGATGAGGTTAGGCATGCCACCATTATTTACTCCTTGAAACTTTTTATCTGCTTGATATGCTTCCTAGCAAGTTGCACGTGAAGCAAATTTGCTTTATAAATTTTCCTATGACCGGATCAAGAGTTTGACTATTTTTATGCCTTGTCTTGCCTTTGGGCTTATGTTTTCATTGGAGAGGATTGAAGCATAAAGTATTCTTTAGGCCTTTTTCAGCTTACTGTAATACTTATTAGCATACTTGTTATTTACATTACTTTTCCCCTTCCTTTCATTTGATTGATTTGAGATCCACTACATTGTGTTTAACAAAATATAAGGAGACAGCCAGGGCTGCTCTTTTAACGTCTCCTTTAATGTACAAGGGTGTAATATGTGGCACAAGGCCTACAACTGTATTAACAGACTTTTTACATCCTTTTAGACTTGATCAGTTGACATTTCCATACACTTAATTCTATGAAAATGAATGGATCCTATGGGTTTTCCTCATTAAATATGCTAGCTGAACTGATTTAACTGAAATGATGATAATAATTTCATATTTTTCTCTGCAGTCTGGAATTACAATATCAAAGTTAACAGAGTAGAGGAGGCTCAGCAAGAAAAACTAGTAAGCTTGAGAATCACTGTCTAGTTTTGCTAGTATTGCTTTTTGTGGCTATATATGCATTAGTTCTTGCGTGCTTTGAGAAAGTATTCATCAGTATGTATTGTAAATTAGATTGCAAATTAGATTGCGAATTTCACCTTTTGTTTGTTGTGGATCAGTATAGATGTTGTCTGTTGCTTTACAATTATTCCCCATATCTATGCATGAACTTGTGCAACTTTGTTCCGTTTTTTCTTTTTAGGGTCAGTAGATTTCATTTCTTAAATGGTGGGTTTATTCTTTTTGCAGACAGATCTTATTAATAAAGCTTCTATGTGGTGGCGCTTATCTGTGTCTTTCATTTCTTAAATGGTGGGTTTATTCTTTTTGCAGACAGATCTTATTAATAAAGCTTCTATGTGGTGGCGCTTATCTGCGTCTATATATGGTGGCACTTATCTGTGTCTTCTTTTTGCATCGATCAACTTTGTCTATATATGGTGGCACTTATCTGTGTCTTCTTTTTGCATCGATCAACTTTGTCCCACTTCTATATGTCTGCATGGTGGCGCTTATCTGTGTCGCTTATTGGGATACCGCTTTTTAGTAGCAGAAGTTTAGGCATAAATCCACTTTATAAATAGTAGGGGATATGTATACTTGACGGTCACTGATATTCGATCTGATCTGGTTAGTCTATAATTATGTACGTCTGCAAAGTTACCCAGGTGTATAAGTACAAATAATGAGATATATGGCTGTCTGGGTGATGACTTCTCTAGACGTTGATCGATGTTTCTCTCGGCAAATAATGAGATATAGCTGTCTGGTTAATGACTTCTCTAGACGTTGATAGAGATAGATGTTTCTCTCGGTGGTGGTGGCAATTGGCCTGAGTCAATACGAGAAGGGATAGAAAATCATGTTTGAATGTTGAAATTATTAGCAATAGCCTTGTTTAAGGAATACTATAAATCCAAACAAGTCTGTTTATCCTCCGAATACCATATTTGAGTTAATAGCATACTCCCAAATGTGCACATATATACATGCTTGAATGTCTACTACGTAAATGATGATAACACCACCAACCATTCTTCCATTTCCCATTTGCCTATTTTCTATACTCTATGTTGCAAATGTCTACAAACCCTATGGGTTTAGGTTGTGATTGAACATGAATGCATCAAACTCCATAAAGTGGACAAAATTACACCCGTCATGGTTCACCAAATAACCCTCTCGATAACAAGTGGCCACATTGTGACCTTGACATTTATGACTACAACTTTACACAAGACAATAAAGCATGCATCATGTTACTACTAGTACTTCTGCAGAAACGTTAAGGCAGTGACAAGGTTGTGCTAAAAACAAACAAGATATCTAAGCAGCAAGTGCAGCAAGTTTTCCTTTTCTTCTTCCCCTACTTAATGTCCACGGCCTGATTCTCCTAACTAAATAAAACACAAAAGGCCAAGGAAACTTTTAGTTTAGTTTCCATCAGCAGCAGATTTCAGGTAAAGGGTTTCACCACCATCACCAGAGTGGCCACTAGAGCTTCCTCCTCTGCCTTCGCCAGAGCTTCCAATATCTTGCTTGCCACTGCTACCAATGCGTACAAAATCAGGGAACCCTCCAGTACCTATGCCTGCATTGCCCCCTACAGTAGTGGCTTCACTTTGCAACATGTGAAAGCCTTGACTTCCACTGGAGCTCATGCCAAGTTGGCTGTGCAAGCCTTGCTGCTGTTGAAGGGCTGAGAAAGGTTGTTGAGCGTACAAGAGGGAGGAGCGTGAAGCCATTAGCTGTTGTTGTGACATCTGCTGAGCTTGTTGAGCCTGCATGTAGTGCGCCCCCTGCTGCATAATTCCACTAGAAGGATACTGCAATGATATCAAAAGAATATGAAGTTAAGTGAAGGTTATGTATGTAATTGGATTATTGCAATATTTTGCACATAAAATGTATCCAACATGTTCTCATGTTGAGGCTTTCAAATAATGCTGCTCAATATTCTGAAAAATGGACATGTACCTGACCAGGCATAGGAGGTGGTTGGGGCTGAGAATCAGCTATTGCAGCTAGGTACATGAGATTTCTCTGCAGCCTGGATTGGTTCCTGAAATAAAGGCAAGAGGATTATGACGGTTTAGGACCACAATAAAAGGAGCAGGAAATGAACGAGAGTCTCATGCTAGGATGTTAAATGCAAAATCTAATAATTGTTTCGGGTTTCTATGTCAAGACAAGCATGGAAAATTGAGTTTTTGAAGAAACTTTTCATACTCCCACCCTTCCCCAAGAAAAAAGTTAATCTAATAAGAGTATCCTCTGTCGCCTTCCAACTGCATTGACAAAAGAAAACGCGAATGATGTAGTTACTAAAAAGGGTTGCAACCTTTCTATGAATGATTGACTTTGAGGGATGTAAAATATATGTACATAAAGTTACTACTTTTTTGCATCAAGTCATCATGTTTGCAACTTCAACTCGTAATTGTATTGTATAAAACTATTGGTGTACAATTTTTTTAAGCATTGTGGGGTACCCCATATCTTAGAAAAAGCCTGCAAAAAAAGATGTATAGTCATTGCAGACTCCATTTAGATTCAAGACTTCGAACACCTTAGAGATTTATCGTTACATTGACTAGTTGAGTAGTTTTTAGCAACAAATATACTGCGTTTAAAATATCACATAAAAAAGTAGGAGGTTTAAAGTTCTTGAAAATTAGTCTCACGAATACTGTAACTGCGTTTAACATGAAGTATTTAATTATGTTAATACCCAAAGCGTACCGATGGGGAGCAACGCTATATGCCTGCAAATGAAACAAGTAAACAGAAAACTAAAATAGAAATTCACTATACAGGGATTGATGTAAGAACTTTTTCAAGTTTCTATTCCTTGCAGTTATTATATGACACCAAACAAGAAGAGCGCATGCTTGCTAAGAAATTAAGATATGAGAAACAATGTTTTCAACTGATGGTGCAATTTAGATCAATTCTTACTCGGCACACTCGCTCAGCTTGCCGGAATTCTGGCTTTCAACAATCTTCAGAATCAGTGACTTGTTCTCATCCAGATACTGCTTGTAAAGAGAGAAAAAAACTGATTATTTTAGAGATGATAATATCACAAAAACGCAGGGAAAATTGCCTAGTAATGTGAGATGGTGGGGGAAAACAACAAAAAGAAAAGTCCTTGTTGATCTGATCTGTCTTACCTAAGATGGTTGGCAATCATAACAAATTTCAGAAAATATGCAGAGAGCTTATTTTCGTTGGTTGGAAAAAGTAAGGGATTTAGGGTATATTATTAAATTGTATTTGTACAAAATTAGTCGTATACCGTATAACATTGGTGAATTTTTTTATGTAAACTAAAATGACAGATGTTAGCATTTTCCGGCATTCAAATTTTTTCCTCTCATCATTTCTTTCATATCAAACACTTTCTTCAACAAACTAAAAATGCGTGTAAGGAAGTAACCAAGCCCTTTCTTCAGCATAAAATTTTTCAAAATTGTCCCCCACAATACACCAGGGAGATCCTAAACCAAGACAGAGAAGGCAGACATATGGCTGGACCAATCTACAAAATTGCAAGGACAACACATGAGAGAATCTAGTAGCTTCAACACTTTAATCCATGAACGGAGGAAACAACACAGCAAGTATCAAGGTGGGGTGCCACCAGAACAGTGTAAACATAAAAGAATAGTTTCTCCCTCGAAAAAGTAATTAAAACGAAAGGCACACTGAAGGGGCCCAAGAAGGAGCTTAATAAATGATAAGAACATAGCGAAGCAAGCAAAGTGGCGAGCGTGAAATGACAAAGACAGGGATTACGTTAAGATAATCTCAGAGAGAAGTTAGCAGAAAGTGACAAAGAATAAAGAGAAGAGGGTATGATGAGAAACAGAGTAAGCAAGCGGTAGTACTAAAAGTGGCACAGTAAGACCCACAGGCGCAGAGACACAAAAGAAAAGGTTCCCTGAGCAGAGACAGGAAGGCGGAGGGAAAGTGGAAAGAAGGGTGAGAAAGAGAAAAGAAAAGGAGAAGAAGGAAAAAAAGAGAGGAAGAATGGAAATGGAAGAGTGAAAGGAAAGGAAAGGACCTGTTGAATGTGATCAGTGGTGACGTTGTTTGGGTAGTAGGCTGCCATGATGGGCTGCATCTGCATCAGGTGCTGCTGCATTTCTCGCACGCTAAGTAACTATGTCCACTATTTATATACAGGCGATGAAATTCAAATCTATTCTCTCTCTCTTATGCTCTCGAGCAGAAGGGTGAAACAGCCCCTGCAAGGAAGAGTGCAAGCGAGGAAGGAACTGCAAAGAGAAACAAAAGGCTGTGTTTTTCTCTGTTCCCGCTTTTGCCTTCTCTCACTTACAATTACGATTACAATTACAATGATGCTACCACACCGAGAAAGATATTATTATTTATTGAAAGAGAGAGAAAGTTGAGGTTGAGGGAACCTGGTTGATTTGGCTCTTTCTTCTCTGCAACTGGGTCCCTCTCTAGAACTGCGTGTCTCTCTTCTCTCTCTCTCCAAAAAGTAGCTCACGTGATGGACCAGACAGAGAGAAAATAAAAGATGCTGCTGCTCGCAACTTAACAGAGTCAAATACGTCAAAAGTTTCTCAACACACCGCATGATATCTCTTTTTTTTTTTTTTTTTCCTTCGTTAAGGCTCATATTATTAGTTTGCGTTTAAATCGTTGAAAAAATAGGAACAAATAATTTATTGCTTTTATGAATGTTTTACTTTGCTTCAAGGTTTAATAAGTTTTTTTAACAAGTTAAAATACATGTTTTGAATGGCACTACCTTCAAAATACCAGGTATGGCTGGATGTTTCATTAAGCGAGAATTACATAGTAGTTCTTCTTGTGTTTGTAATTGAATATTCTTCTGAGTTACCGGAGCCAATGATGGAGACCCCATCACAATGTGGAAAGTATCTTCTTCTTTTTTAAGTTTTATTGAAGGAAACATATTCTCGTTTCCAAAACATAAAGAAAGGAAATTTGAGCTCGGAGTTTATGATTCTTTTAGAAAGGAAAAGATTTAAAAGATTTTTCAAACCAGTGTTGATGAGTAACAAATTATCCTCAATGTCACCATGTCAGAAATTTGGTGTTGTTCTAATAAAATCAACTCTCGGTTGAAAATAACATTGAAAATCTTAAAAAAAAAAAAAAAATTTATAGTATATTTTATATAGAAAGTGATGTCATGTGGGGAGCATAGGAATTTGAATAGAAATGTGTTACAAGTTACAATAAACATGACAAAGTAGAGAGGTAAGGTTATGTAGGGTTATAGGTCTCGCGCATATTAACGTTTGAGGATGACGTTGGAGCTGTGTAAGAGATTCCCACTCTTGCGTTGCACCCTCGATTACCTTCAGTTCTTCACCTCTATGCAGAATATTTTTTATAATGGCATTCATGCTTCTCCTTTTCATTCTTAACGATGTTGCTTTTGGTCCAGAGTTGGATTACTTTAATAAATTCACTTTCGCCGTTTGCGAATGGTTAAAAAGAGTATATTGGAGCGGTGATTAAGAGGCTTGGATTGCAGCAGTGCAGGTATGCTTGCTTAC